CAAAACAGTTTTACAAATTGTCCTACATTATAACGCTTTTCAACGAAAAAAAAACAATTATGAATGGGAATAAGAGAGTGATGACTCGGTCTTAACGGCCCTTTCAAACCTTGCAGGGTCGTGGCCGTGATGACTTGCAGGTCACAGGTCACGCAAAATCTATCCAATCAGAGCGTCAATTCATCAGCGTGTCCCAGCGTCCTGTTTGCAGGGCGTGGTGTACAAGCGTACGGCCCTTGATGAAAGAAAGCAAGTCACAGTCTTTGTTTGTAGGGCTAGAGGACAACATTATAATAAGCAAAACATATAGATCTTGACAGATAATCATAATTATCATGCGAAATTTAAGATGAAGCTTGTTTTCCCGGCAAAAGGCGCTGGACGAGGAAAACATTGAACAGAAGCCCGCCGTATACGTATTAGGGGCCTCGCCCCGTTATCGGACATAAGCAGAACTTCAAACTTTTGAATGAGACATTTTAAAGTCCAATATCTGGAGAACTTAGTTGTGGAAATATGTCCATGCATATAATTTAACTGACTACATACGGACAAAACTAATCATAAACTCATAAAAAAAACATTGTGGGGAAAAGCCCTGTATTCTGTTCATCGAACAGACATAATCATAGTTATATTCCCAATCTTATGTACATGTTATTCAGCCCCCTTTTTTCAAACATAAAACAAAGTCATATTTTCCTCCATAAAACTTCACTTATGTAAAGACCCACTGAACTTGTGTCCTAGAGACTGACGTCATGATGAAGTCATCATGGGTCGGGTGACGTCATCTGAAAGATACATATTTTAAGACCTAGAGAACTGTAAGTCCGATTGGGTTGAAACTTATGTGACACTTGGAAAGTAAGGTCGAATAAAAGTTGGAGGAGAACAACTTCTGCAATTTTTTTCTGTGATTTTTTCTGTAACGAAAGAGATGAGATAAGTTAACTTGTCTCTGATGAAGTAGATTGTGAATTTACATAGCATTTAAATTATTCAACATCAATACAAGAGTACATACAGGGACAATGACCTCAATGATCACGTCAATAAATATAAAATGGCGGACAACATCTTCGACATTTGTCTCCAAGAAATAAATCAAATATATAAAGGAAATGCTTTAAATCCTCTCTCAATCACCTTATCAAAGCTAGCATATGTTCTAAAGGAAATAAAATAATTACCCATTCGGATTCTATTTTTCACGTGTAAACACTAAATTGCTCATAAAATCTCCTTTTCTTTCTTGTTCGATGTACTGATTTGTAAACACATCATCAAACATTTATGGACGAAGTTTAAGTATAATAAAAAGGCCTATAGTATATTACAAGTTATTGTTCTCAACAACCAGTGGTTTGTTGTATTGAACGCTGACTCATTCGGATTGTTGTTCACGGTTAATTAGAATATAAGAACGATCCGTACTTGCAATTTGTTTCAAAAGAGGGCGCACTGTACCGCGCGCCAACTTATGTCCATTTGCTATGTAAACACAGACATTGTAACGACGAAAACTCAAGATAAACACACGGCATTGAAATGAAATTTCGTCCAACATTTTGCTATGATATTTAACACAAGAATCTTAAAGATTGACAAGAACCGTGAAAGAATTAATTTAATATAACTGAAGGAATTTGCAGTGTAAGTTTCTACGTAGTTTATTGTCATCATTTCTTCCAAAAGAGGGCACACTATTTAAACACTGCTCACCGCGCCGACTTCTGTCCATATTCGCGATGTAAACAAAGTTACTGTACCGACGAAAACTCAAGATAAACACATTACATCGGAAATGACGTACATTACACAAAAATCCTGAAAATTGACAGGAACCTTGAAAGAATTATATCAATATAATTCACGGACATTGCAGTGTAAGGACATTCCGTATATTATTGTCATCAATTCCTTCCAAAAGAGGGCGCGCTATATAAACCCTGCTCACCGCGTGTCGAAAGTAATTAGCAGCCTACCTTCACAGAAACATTTGGCGACTCGCTTATTTGCGGCGCGGGCTGGACGCTGTGAAAAACTCACCCTGGAGTAGGGGCAACAAATTGCAAGATGAATGACGAGATGAGAAGTCAGCCCTCCAAGGAATTCTTGCAATGAATCTTCTCCTGACACTTCAGCAGGTGGGTAAACTGCAAACAGCTCCTTGTAGTAAAACGCCCGATTGTTTCTAACCCGCATAACATATTGAATGGACCTCACGCGTAGCAGCCATCTTAGATGGCATCTTTTGTTCTTTCATCTAGTAGCAATGAATGCACGAAAGGTGTACGCATGCATAACCCATCAACAAATGCATTGCCTTCTTAGATAGCTAATATGTATGGCACAAGTTTGAGTGATATTTCTACGTCAAGTGTACATTTATTTAGGATTTTCCAAAAACGTGTTGCTAAGTGTGACCCAATAACCTTATAATTTATGCAAATCAAGGTGCGGTCTTGTATTGTTAACGCCCGTGTGTGGTATGGGCAGGGACATTTCTATAAGGCTGTGTAATTAGCATTAGAATACTGGCTCACTGAGTGTTCACATTGCATTAGGTGCTGTAGATTTTCAGACTGGAGGTGCGATAGCACGTACAGAGCAATTTTGCTTAATCTTATTTTGGATTTCGAGAATCCTGTTTCTGGCGATAGATAATTGCTGAGAGAATAGTCCAGCAGTTTAGCCCGATTTACACCTGCTTCCCAAGAGCTGCATTAGCCAGCGAATTTACACCCCTTGACGGTGTTCCAGGCCTTAGGAGCCAGTATATACTGTGAGTTTTGTTGAGATACTTGTTTCATTAATTTAATGTAATCATTTAATTTCAAACACCAGTGAGTGTATCAATTTGGTTACACTCAAGTATTGTAGCTCGTGCATATTTGAATGTGTTAGCGTGGCAAATCTGCTTTTCGGGACACGCCCCTTTGGGCGGACAGATGTCATTTGTATGGTCCAGTTGATTTACTTAAAGTTTAGCCTGAAAATGCCAGGATAGGTGTTTATTGTTGTATTTCATATTTTCAGGGCTCCTTATTGTGGAGTTAAATCCACGCCCGGCAATTAACCATTTTTGATTCACTTCTCACCGTGAGGCTTTCCCGCCGTAGACGAAGGTGCTCGTCACGCAAATAAAATGGTCACTGAACTGGCCATCAAGAGCAACATTTACATCGCCCCTCTCGTGATAAAAAATGGTTCCTTTGCATGGTCCTAACTAGTCACATTCAAGGGTGGACCCAGAGAGGTTACTGCCGGGGGTGTGCCGGAGGACGAAGGGCTCTCTCAAGTGAAAAATTACCGTATTTGAGAACAATACGGCTATATTGAGACTATTTCAGGAATAGGCCTACACTGTAATTTGTTTGAGTAAGGGAATTAAGATTGTTTAAAGTTAAACGCAACCGTTTTAAAATGTGTATATCAATGTGTTAGTAAATTTTTTCAGGGTAACATGTATTCCTTGCAATGTGAAGGAAAATAGTTTTACAATGTTTCCCTCTTTCACACCGACGGAAGGTGCCTTATTTTCTGAGCAAGTGCCCTTTTTTGGTGATGCCACCCCGCCAGTTTGAAAAGCGTTCCGCTGCCGCTGTCCGTTGCAATGCCTGTCGTCGGCCAACCCAATGTTATTAAAACAAATTGGTGCGATATAGAGGTTGTTGAGTATGTTAAGAAAACTATTCCCATGAAATTCCAAGTAATAAGACTCTCTCCAAAAGTCCCCAGAAAAAAATCATGAAAAAAATCATGAAAATAAAGCCAAACTTTAATGAAATTCGAATGGAAACCCCCAATTTGCGGGGTCAACAACGACACGTTTCTATCGATACACAATATTTTACCGTACTGTGTTTGTTTGAACAATGATTTTGATTAGGTAAGTGAACGTTATTTAGCAAAACGACAACAACAGACTTTTATCATGCTGCCACCATTTCAGTCATGTTCCCTGTATCCAATATAAGTACTGAATGATATTGTGGTTTTTTGTGCAAAAAGGAACCAGACTATTCTCCTTCCAGCCTCGCTTTGGCCACGTTGATTTGAATGGAAAAAAATCAAGATGGCCGCAACATGATAACGGTCTATTCACATACAGGTGAGAATTGTTTTCGTTTTGCTGAAATAACACTTAATTTGGTGTAATCAGTGGTTAAACCTTTAAAACGGTGCTTGTGTTTAAAATTTCCTTAACTTGAAAAGTACAAGAGCGATTTGAATGATTCTTGTATTAAAAAAAATATTAATAAGGGAATAACAGTGTGAGGAGCCGGTCTTCACTGCGTATAGCTTCATGGTGATAATGACCGGGTTTGGGGGTCACCCCCAAACCCGGTCATTATCACGCAGTGAAGACCGGATCCTCACACTGTTAATCCAATTAATAAATACCTTTTTAACGAAATAAACAGTTAAAATGGTCCAATTTTGTGACTTTTTTCCCGGCGATATTTCCAGACTTTTTTGTGTTCATGTTCATGGGCCATATTTTAGCTTATACGTGGTACCCTGTCTCTTCAATAAGCGTTGTTATATACACCACAGCCGGGCCCAGGCTGCGCTGGACAATTGCAACGTCTTCATTGCGTACGCGTACGACGACTTCTGCTGCCGTAGCCAAACAAATACAACAATGTTTTCATATGTTTACCTTATGGAGGAAGCTGAAATTTCGTTTACACATTCCTTGTGTCCAGAATTACAAAGATGAAATGGAACGGCCGCTATTACTATCAGTATAACGTACAATCTAAGTACCAGACATATGCACAAGAACTTTACTGTTAAAGTTTACACTCAACAGGTATTCAAAGTTTGAAGAAAATTGTTAATAGTTTGTAGGGGTTACCCTGTCTCCTAATTTGATTTCATAAAATACTCAAAACAGTTTCATATTCCCTTTTCGTATTATCGTATCATTATGACCTATACCGCTTAAAAGTGACAAATGCACGGTATACGGAATGAAACATGACTTCAAGTTGAAGAGGTAAATACAGTGCTATATTTAATCAAATATTCATCACTATCTCAAAAGATAAACTTTTAATTACAAAATCTCATTGATCTTTGAAACATAATCTATGCCAGAACCGAGTGACCAATTCTCGGTCATTAGTTCCTGATATGATTCAATGTTTAATTGTTTTGTTGCTTTTAATTTAATTAATTCTAAATCTGGACCGCCCGCGGTTAACAGTACATGCGTACACTAAATATACCCACTTAACAACACTTATATACATGTATACACAGAAAGAACGTTGCATCCTGGCCAATTTGACATCTCAATAATAATGTTGGGGGAAAAAATAGAATCTGGGACTGAGAAATATTTACAATTTGTTAGTAAATACTTTGAAAATGCATTTGACTCTCCATATTGTACAAACACACGCAAAGAAGTGGCGCCTGACACTGTACATTCTTTATAAATACAAAAAGTACAGCTGATTCATAAAATTAACTCCTATTCAAATCGTTGAACGAATCTGTTACAATTACAGCAAAATAACGTTGTTTCTTTTGATCTAAACAAGAAATTCTACACGGTTGCTGCGAGTTTACTACACGACACCGATGTTGTAACCGGCTTATGAAGTCCATGTGAAACGTATGCTGCGTGCTCGGTTGAATAGCCTACACAGAAAAGGGATCGCGTTAAATTTTCCTCCCTCTTGCTATTTTAAGCAAGAGGGATTTTAATTAGAGTCTCATCCCGAAAAAAAGATCTTGTTTTTAAATCTATATTTTCCCACCAATACAATATTTATTCGCTTTTGATTGAGACACATCCACTCACTTTTATGGAATAATAACTACTCTACAAATTTCGAACTGTTATTATTTGACGCAGTATTTGTACACTGTACGTTCAGAGGGTTGTAATTTCTGCTATTTCGTTTCGCAATTCAATGAGCTTGATAATAAAATGAATCAAGGCGTTCAAAATGACCGCAAAATCTTTTTAACCGTCTTTAAGATAAAACTGATGATTTAATTCACAGCTTCCGGATGTTTGACTCATGTTGGGACTTATCCTATATAATCGAACCCTGTTTGTCAGTCACACCTTGCATCGAATGAAGAGGGGCCGTCCCTGTGCCGTCTAATATAGGCCATTGATGTCCAACAATTTCAAACCTGAGAAACGCAACAAGAAAGAACAAACAAATCGTTATTAATCGGAAAAAAATCAAGTTAAATAAATGAGAATTATTGATGAGAGTTGATGAAATGACCTTGCGTATAAGATTGGTTCAAAGACTCTTAAAGATCATTATTGGTGGGATCAACCAATCGACTGCAGCAACTAGGTAGGACAACCGTCAAGTTAACTTCTTGAATCAAGACTATACAGCTTGGTAAAATACAAGGCTATTTGATGCATTCTGAGATACATTAGTAACAAACTTAGAAACAGACATTAGGCCTAATAGGATCATATACATGTAGTGAGGAATATAATGAGAAACAATGATAATTAACGATGAGAGATGAGGCAATGACCTTGCGTAAGATTGGTCCAAGGAATCGTAAACATCATTGTTGATGGGATCAACCAATCGACTGCAGCAACTAGGTACGACAACCGTCAAGTTAACTTGAATCAAGTCTATACAGGGTTAGTCAAAAAAAGCGAAACCCAAATGTCGGGACCATTGTTTCAGTGAAATTCTTCATGTAGCACTTCAAAATCTAGGATACGAAAGCCCAATTTATATGCTTCCTTTTAGTGCAAGAATCATTCAAATCACTTATGTACTTTTCAAGTTACGGAATTTAACACCCAACCGCCGTTTTAAAGTTCTATCCACGGATCACAAGAATGTTAGTGTTCTTTCAGCAAAACGAAAACAAATCGCATAGGCATTTGGGTTTCACTTTTTTTACTCACCCTGTACAAGCCCTTTTGGAAAATTTTATGTCACCGTAAAGTACAAGGCTATTTGAAGCATTCTGAGACACTTTAGTAAAAAGAATTTCTTTGCCTCAAATAAACAAAAAACTGTCTTTATTATTACTGACCTGCCAGAGCTGACTGGAAACCAGCGTTGTAATCGGTCGCTACCTCGTTCTGAATGTAGTCCCGCCGGTTATTGACGAAACCATCATTAACGTCTGGCCCACCGACAAGGGCGCCCTCTAACACTTGGGGGTTAGGGTTAGGGTCTTCCAGGTTGCTCGAACCACAGGGCGCGGGCATGTCTGGACAAGAGCTGGAATAAAAATGAAAGTTAAACAAACAAATATGAAAATCAGGCTCAGTTAACCCCACGACAAAAATAATGAAAATAATATAAAGAATAGGGTGAGTTAAAAAAAATAAAAAAAATGCAAGACCATTTTCTTAACAAAGTTCTGCATGTACCATCAAAATCTACGGATTTTCTTACACCCGCACCGTTTAAAAGTTCTGTCCACGGATCACAAAAAAGTGTGTGTTCTTTCAGCAAAACCAGAACAAATCACACCCATTTTCCATGTTATTTGTTTTTGTTTGCTCCAAGAATACTTCACTTTTTTGTGATCCTTGGATAGAACTTTAAAACGGTGGTTGTGATTAAAACTCCATATCTTGAAAAGTACATGAGTGACTTGAAAGATTCTTGTACTAAAAGAAAGCTTAATTATTGGGTTTTTATATTCTAGATTTTGATAGTGATACATGCAGAACTTCCTTAAAACAGTGGTCCCGATATTTGGGTGTCCTCTTTTTTTGATTTACACTATACAGTTAAAAAAGGCACAATATCAAGACAAAAAGATCAGATTTAAGGACAAGTGCCTCGCATTACTCTGACAGATATGAAAATGGTTAAATTTCATATCGTTCCGTAATAGTAACCCACAATGCAAAGGGGAGGACAGTGTTACTCTATTTAGAACTGTGTGAATCGTGAAATGTTCTTTGTACTCCCAATTCAATAGACCTGAGACTCAATGACGTAGGCCTAATGACTTTGTTTACATGCGCTTTCTTATTGGAGCGAAGTCGGGATGCCAGACAAATACAGGGACCGTCTACCACATAGGAAACCACACTTGTAAACAAAGCGTAACGTCATTAAGTCTCAGACACATTGAACAGACAAGAAAACAGCTGACACTGCACAATTTTCAGAAATAATTGGATTGATTGTAAGCCATAAGTTACCTTGCTCGATGGTGCGGGGAATGCGGCGGATTATTGCCAAAGCCTACTACGAAACTTCTGCCACCATCACCCAACATGTAGTTAATCTGCTGCTTGGCAAAGTCTTGGTATTTCCTTACTTCGATTCCTTCGTGTGCAGCAACCAGAGCAAGGAAGGCAGTGTTGGCTGTCAACAAATATAAGAAGCAAATAACTCATTTTGGTTATAATTCTATATTTTATGTATGTTCTTGAAATACGAGGGTGAGTCAAAAAAGCAAAACCCAAATGTCGGGACCATTGTTGTAGCGAAGTTCTGCATGTAGCCCTTTCAAAATCTAGGATACGAAAGCCCAATTCATAACGATTAGTTTAGCACAAGATTCATTCAAATCAATTATATACTTTTCAAGTTACAGAATTTTAAACACAACCACCGTTTTAAAGATATATACTCGGATCACGAACAAAGGTATGCACTGTCAGCAAAACGAAAACAAATCACATAGAGTTTTGCTAAAAGTGCATACCTTTTTTGTGATCCGTGGATAGAACTTTAAGACGGTGGTCATGTTTAAAATTCCGTTACTTGAAAAGTACATGAGTGATTTGCATTCTTGTACTAAAAGAAACCTTATGAATTGGGCTTTTACACCTTAGATTTTCAAAGTGCTACATGCAGAACTTCATTAAAACAATAGTCCCGACATTTGGGTTTCGCTTTTTTTTTTACTCACCCTGTACATTAGTAACCTGTGAAATAAACGATTATTTTGACAACAGTTAAAGTACCTGCATAACGGTTAGTTCCCCACTGGTCCCTCCATGCTAGTCCCTTCGGTGTGTACTGGATGTTCCCTGGTTGCCAGCTATTCAAGTAATTGGTGATGGCAGTCTGATAACGAGTAGCACCAGTCAGTTGGTACATCAGCATCTGCAATATTAGAAATATTACAACAGTTTTAGAAAACAAAAGTCATCATCCGTAGGATGCAGAGCACGTGAACACAACATCCCCCAATGCTTCAATCTTGACTCATCTTTACGTTTCTGGCTCAGATCGAAAGATCGAAAAGACCACACAGTGCTTCTGATGTTGAGATCATTTCTCGTTTGGGGATTTTAAAAAGTGAGAATCCTCTTGATTAATTGTCTTTTTGTTATGAACCAATATTGTTTGTTTGCAAAACGTAGAACCACGTACCATAACTCCAGCTTTCTTATCATCCCAGGAAAATGCCCAGGGTGTGCCATCTCCGATATGGAAGGCATCATAGTGGTTAGTTGCCGCCGTCAGATAGCTGTTGTCGCCGGTAGCACGGGCCAACCATGCTGCACTCCATGCTAACTCATCACCGTAACCACTATGAGAACTATTGATGAACAGAAAAGAACCAGATGAACTACTCGACTAATTTCACGGGGGCCAATCTAAAAATATACGCAATTTAAACTAATGCCATACAAAGTAACATTTAGTTTTAATTGCAAATTGCACTTAACAAACTTGAGGTAAAATGGTAGACAAAAAAAGCAGCAGGAAATGCATCCATAAAAAAACTAGAATCAATAACATAATTAATAGAGTAGCTTTGGAAAGATGAAGACTTACTTATAGAAACTAGCAGCGTTAGAAATAGCATTGGTGTAAGTTCCTTTGTATTGGTCAGCGAAAGCGTACAGTTCTATCGCATTCTGAAGAAGTTCTTCGGCGTAAGTTGGATCTGCAAAGTTATTTGTAGAGAAATGTTTATAAAGTTGCTGTGAATCACATTTTATATAAAAATCAATGGTGCAAATGTTAACGCCAGTCTGGCAGGCTAAAATATGATCCCTTCCTTGGTAGAGTGGAATGGCCCACAAACCAAACACATCAGTTCTCGTGGCGTCATTTTACTGCATGATATTCGCCAACCCATACCCTCACTGGTGACTGTTACCTCAATATTTTTTAAAATATTTTTTTTATGTAATCTTTGAAGTGACAATGTGCAACAGAACATGCAATAAGCTTTATCTTACCTGTTTGCCTAAAGGCAATGCTGGAAGCAGCCAACGCTGCAGCTGTTTCAGCAACAACCTCAGTCCCAGGGTTAGCAGCTGTGATCTTAAAGGCAGGTCGGCTTATCGTCATGTCTTCTGGTCGACCCCAGTACGCATGATCAAGGTTGCCGTCACCAACCTGAATAATACATTAAAGTAACAACAGTTTTGGAATACTAGGGAAGATAGCCGAATGGAATTAAAAAATCGAAATAGGTTTTTATTGACTGATTTTGAGATTTGATCATCTGTGTTATATCGTGAATCTTACCTGTCCGTAGAATTCATATTGTCCAGTGTGGCATTTTAGGAAGTAGTCAGTTGCCCACTTGATGCAATCCAGCATGTTGTCTAATTCCCCTGATGCAAGGTAGGCGTCACGGTACTCGACTAAGCCCCAGGCAAGAATAGTTACAGTCGATGCCATGGGAAAACCAAATTTCACGTGGTCTCCAGCTGTAGACGGACATATTACAGTTGTTATAAACATACACACTCATCTTCGGCATTTCGAAAGAATCAAGCATTCCCTTCTCCCACTATCGGCTTAAATACCCTGCATCCCTTTCCTTGTCGTTGCAATGGTTGTGACTATCGTAAAGAATCGACGACAACGAATATTAGTTGTATTCTCACCATCAAACCATCCGCCAGTCAAGTCTTCTCCATTAAGTCCCATGTCATTCAAAGTGCTGTCAGATCTCCAGAGTATGCGGTTATCGGGTGGTAAAGGTCCTGATCGCTGTGCCTCATAGAACAAGATGGACTTATGAATCACTTCAGCATAGTCGTAGGGAGCTAAAAAACAAAATACAAACATCAGAAATGTAAGGGGAACTCATTCATTGTAAGGAGCTCTAAATTTTCAGAACAATATACATTTTGCATTACCTGACGAATGAGTTTGCGTGACGCGTGTTGTCTCAACGGGTTTCACAGTAATTGATGGGCCTGGCGTTGAGGCTTTGCTGATTGGAGAAGTTGTCTGCTCGGATATCGGCTGTGTGGTACGAGGTTCTGTGGGAAGTACCGTGGGAAGTTCTGTGGCAGATACAGTGCGACGCTCAGTGGGAAGTTCTGTTGGAAGTTCTGTGGCAGGTACGGTGCGACGCTCAGTGGGAAGTTCTGTTGGAAGGTCTGTGGCAGGTACAGTGCGACGCTCAGTAGGAAGTTCTGTTGGAAGGTCTGTGGCAGGTACAGTGCGACGCTCAGTAGGAAGTTCTGTGGGAAGTTCTGTTGGAAGTTCAGTGGAGAGTTTTGTTGGGAGTGCCGTAGGATTTTCTGTTGAAGCATTTCCATCGGAACAATCGGGTTGGCCAATCATACGAGTAGTGAACGTAGGTGTGTTTGCAGCTGAGGCTTGGAATTGTTCCCGGAAGACGGTGCCCACTGACTGATCAGCATTGTAGTCTTTGTTCTTGATAATGTACGTCTTGCCTCCGTTGAGAATACTGACAACATCAGCTCGGTATACCTGAGAGGGAAAAGACAACGTAAAACACTGGCAAAACTGAAAAGTTGCCCAAAGTAATAATGAATGAATAAAATGAAAGTAAGCAAAGAGGCATGAAACAACCATGAAAGTTGTATAAAAGAAGTGATCATGCACCAAACAAGCCAGCTGGAGCAGTCAGATGAAGCAAGCAAAACATATAATTACATATTTCGTTTTGCATAAACTTCATAGATATACTAACCTGTAGGTTGACAACTGGATCTGAAAACTTGAGTTCCATCGTCCACCCACCAGAAACCTGATTCCTAATTGGGATCACCATCTCGCCTTTGAAGTTTCCCGGCCACTCGTCCACAACATTCGTAGTTGGGCATTCAAAATTTGAAGCAGAAGTTGTTGGTTCATTGGTGTCTAGTTCAGTTGTGGGTGGTGGGACTGTTGTAGACGCTTGGCAGGATGTTGGATCGTCTTGGCAACACTCTGGTTGACCGACTATGTGAGCAGTGAAGCTAGGAGTAACTGTCGTAGAAGCCTGAAACCTTTGGGTGTTTACAGTCCCCGCAGCGAGGTCAGCATTATAGTTCTTGTTCCTCAGTCTGTAAATTTTACCTCCATTCAAGATGTCAGTAATTTCGGCGTCATAAACCTGTGACAAAGATTCAAGGTATTTAAGAATCATTTTGTATTCGAAAGTAGAGATCCCATGAAAAGAATCGTCGTCAAGAGGATTTTTGTAATACGAAAAAGTCCAAAATACCTGAAGATTTGAAACTGGTTCGGTGAACAGAAGCTCTACCACCCATCCACCGGTCACCTCATTCTCGATCGGTAAGATGAACTCTCCGTCGAAGTTTCCTGGCCATTCGTGGGTGATTTGAGCCGAAGAACAGCAGGTTCTGCAGCCCAGGGGAGTGGCAACTGCTGGACGTGGTGTGGTGCGAATAACTGCGCGGTCCGAACATTGACCACAATCTGCCTGGTCAAGTAGACGGACAGTAAAGCTGGGAGCTTGACCGTCAAACTGACCGAGGAAGCTCATGGCTAGGTTCTGTCCTGGGGACAGGTTTCGGTTCCATCTTTTGTTCTTCAGGATGTACAGAGTGGAGTCGCCGGTAGTGCTCTTGATATTTGCTCTCCAAATCTGTTTCGAATATAAAAGGAAAATGGGATGAAAATTACAAGTTTGGACAAAGCAAGCAAGCATTATGCTCAATGGCGGACTGCACTCAGACTAAAAATTGAGACATACCGGCATATGCAATATAAAACATTCTAGTTATAAGCAATACATTTTCAAAGTATCACAAATATTTAGGTATTAAATTCAAAATTGATATGTATGCGTTCTTTGCGGGTATGGTGTCCCGAGTGTTTGGTATCCTCCGGAACATGATCCGTGTTCTTCAACTAAGTCGGGGTTTGCAACCGTCGCACACTTCTTGACACAAGTCGAAAAATTACCTGTTCTGTCAAAATCAGACTTTTCTGGGCATAGGTTCAAAATGAGATTTGTTAGAATATGTACAGTTTCCTGTAGGTGGTTTAATTTTTGAAATCAGTCATTCCTGGGCAAACTTATGCTATTTTGAAGTTCATAGTGTCGAAAAGTAGAAAATGGAGAAAATGGCAGTTCAAGCTTGGGGTCTATTTTAAGACCTGTTTCAAGTGACATTTCTTCAACTGATTTACCTTAACAAATCATCAAAAATACTACACTTGGGGTTCAAATTAGGGTTTCAAACTTTTACAGCATATTTTAGACATGATCAAGATTGCAAATATGCAAAATTTAGAAGAAAAAAAAATTACCCCAGCAGCATTTTTTTGGCCCTATCTCAATTTCAACCTCTGCCCAGCAGCGTCTGCTTTTGACAGATTATCATTCCATAACTAATTATGGGCCGATTTTTCACGATCAAAGTCTAATTCACAAGTCAATAAATATTGCATTGCTAGACACATTGTGTTGCTAAAACAAAACACGGACGGTATATAATTAAGATTCCAATTAATGGGACACTTTATTAAAGAAAAGAGAGACAAATGAAGTGTCGAATTAAGGGAGTTGTTTTGTTTCTTAAAATATGACGATTCAATTCTGTTATCGGGACAGTGCAGTTCAGGGATAACGAACTACAAGAAGACGTGACATAACGTTACGGCTTGCTTTTAGTGGGAACGGTGGATAAAGTTTGATGAATACTCATTGTCATATTATTTCATTCGTCTTTTGGTAAGAGAAGTTCGCTATGAATTGCATCATATCAATTCCTATATCTACAGTATACCCACCTGAAGGCTTGTGACTGGTTTGGAGAACTGTAGTTCCAGGTTCCAGCCTCCAGATACTGAATTCGTGATGGAAATTGAGAACTCGGCATCAAAGTTACCAGGCCACTGGTTCCTGATGTTTGTTGTACTTCCACATGTGTAGCATGCGTTGGCCAATGAGGAGTAGACTAGCAGGAACCCAACACACATTAACATGGTTCGTAGCATCTTAACCTGAAGAGAATTAAATCGGAAAAATTACACTCGGCTGTTTGTGAACTGAAAATTTAAGTGTTTCTTGATACCGATAAATGAAATTCCCAAAGGATAAATATACCATCTACATGTAGATTGTCGTTCCTAAGCGATACACGAATTTAATGTGATTCTTTTTCTTCCAATGAATGAATTAATAAAACAGTATTAATAGTATTTCGGAACCTCAAATCAAGCAGCAACGAGAACATAATCGAAAATGAATTTTAAAAAAAACTTCTTCCGAAAAGTAACCTGTGCACACCTCTTATTCAAACTTTTATATGTGTAATGGAAAGTCCCTGTTTTCAAGGAAAATTTTAAAAAATTATATAATTCAAGTTTTTTTTCAGAAATAAAAAATGTCATTTAAATTTATCTCCAAAATTGATCATTTTTATCGTTCTCGATTTTGAGGCATCACACAGACATTATATTTTGAAGCAACATCCTAATTAGAAGTTATCACAAACATTGTAAGTATCGATCATATAGCTATATTACTTTATCTATATTGTTTTGGTGTCGATTCACTTAAGCAGTTGGTTAAGTCGATGTTTATATAAACATTACGATTCACATTTTATTTTTATTTTCGCGCCTTCTATTTTTAGTACTGTTGTAGTCGAAAAAAGAAAATCAAAAATTGGTCGTGTTTAATTTTTTCACTGGTTTTTTCTTTATTTTGGTCTGCACCCCTATTTTTTTATCATGCATGGCTGTCTAAATTCCCCTCAGTAACACACATTGTGAAGATAGTCGTCAGCGCAATAGACCATGCTTACCTTTTTACGTGACTGTTCTCGTTCACTCGATTCCTTCCAACATCCACCGAAGATCTGAGATGATTTGTCAATCTGATCGTCTCTTGTCTGAAGCTTACTCGATATGGATGAAATTGTTATGGACAGGACGGAGCAAGACCGGAGCTTTTATGCAGTGTGAGCTGTGTTTGGTTATCGATTGTCAGACAAGGCATTCTATTGACAGGTGGATTAGGGGAAGACCTGCCGCGCCAGTCAATGGATCATAATGACGTCCAGACAGGTTGGGTTTATTGTCATGCGCTTTAACTGGTCAACACGTACCTGGAAAATACCAGGATTTTCAAAATACGACCTGCGTAATACTTGCGTCATAACAACATACGACCAATCACGCAAGCTGACAAACACCACTAGGTGCGTCATATTAACCCTCAGCAAACATTGACCAATAAAACCTCCTGTCAATATGAACGTCACAGCACTACTAAACCAATCACTATCAGAGACGGAGATATGTTTAAACAGTTTGAGAAAAGTTCCAATTGTTCCCAAACCTCATCTGGATACGCCCCAGAAGCAGATGATAGGAAACCAAAAGACAAATGAGATAGGTGCAGTATAAGGTGTATCACAATATACCACCCTTGGTAATATTGCGCGTCGTCTCGGTACATAATAACAATGAGACTAGATTAGAGTTAGAAGCAACAAAACATGATCAGATTTCACAGGGGTCTAGTTTTTACCTGGAACATGCACTATCAATGAAGATGTACTCTTAATGTAGTTAGACCTATTCATTTTGAAATGAGACATTGAACTCCAAAAAATTGGCCTATTTCGAATAATATTCTCGGCCCGACAAATGAAAATCAGTTCTTGCACGGTTGACTGGTTCCCGCCTTCTATCAGAGTCGCAAATGCAGAGAGGCAGGAAACCTTGGAAAACCATGGAAAAACCTGTCCCCCCCCCAAAAAAAATAGAGGTCCAAAATAGAAAATAGAACATACTAACTTTTAAGAGAGTAAAAATGTTGATGCATGAACTAGGATTTCTGCACCTGAGGCGTGCTTCCTGTGTAGATCATGGGCGTCGCGGGGGGGGGGGGGCGTCTATATGTAAATGGGGGTGGGGTGCATGGGCAAATGTTCCCCGCCCACCCTCGAAAAATGATAAATAGAGAATGTGCTAGAGATAGTACGAGGATTTTTTTTTTTGGGGGGGGGAATGTGCTTTGCGCCCCCAGGAAAAATCCTGGTGATTCCCATGTTGTAGATCATGTTATTATGATCACATGCAGGAATCACTGCATGAGGGCGATAGGGATTTGACTACACCATCCGTCCGCAAAACCGTTTAACTCATGGCAAAATAGCTGAAAGGGAAAGGAATAAACAAAAACGCCTAGCCACTATTTAAGATTTGAACTAAATCAAATGCACATCTTGTTAACAAGAAAAAAGAACCTGTTTTTTTCAAAACATGAAATACATCGCTAAGTTTTGCATAGTTCCCTAAACCTATAGGCCTAGTCAAGCAGATTGCCGCACACAGTCAGAGCATATAATGAGAAAGATATTTGACTATAAAAAATATCGCAGAATTGTCCTTTGAAAAAAAATCACAGGATAATTGGCAATGGCCGCCACTTGGACAGTTTTGAAAATTGCTTGTTATTCTATGATTTATTTTGAAAGAACAAATCTGCGATGGCCCTATAGCCAAATATCTTTCCCATGACTGACTGTGTGCCAAACGTCATGCTTTTATAGTCAAACTGAACAATCTTATCACCAATCTGCTGTACGACCACTACCAGGTAATTCATCGAAGCTATGGATGAAATCGGCCAACTATTATTCATCACACCCATACACAATGAACAATCACCTTCTAACCGCATCAATGAATGTAAATTCGAATCAATAAAATACGTACAATAGAGGAATATAATGCAGAGTTGAATATTCTTTTATCGTATTCGTAGCATAAAAGAGGCCCCGGAAGCTTAGAATATTTAGAATACTACAACCATGAAATTCTGAGTAATTAGATGACTCCCCTCAAAAGTCCCCCACCAAAATATCATGAAAATAAAACCAAACTTTAATGCAAATCGCATGTGGAAACCTCGTATTTGAGGGTTCAACAAATACAACACTCTTGTGTGTTGTAGAAATGTATTATGTGAAATCGTGTGCGCACAATATATGCTAATAGTTGGTACACACATGCAAAAAAAGTGTGTAAATTAAGTGAAAATAAACAAAACATTAGTGAATTTGGCTAAAATCTTTCATTTGAGGATTCAACACACGACTAGATTGAACATGATGTTAATCCAACCATATTGTGCATGGACAAATCCTCCTTAACAAATGAACCCTATAATAGACCTATGACATAATGACGTCACGCTGGTTTACATGCGCTGTGAACTATCACGGGAGTCGTGGGGAGGATTGTCTCTCCGGCGTCCCAGGATGAAAGCACACATGTCAACAAAGCTTGACGTCATTATGTCCTAGATCTATTAGAGGTGTTTATGATGAACCGTAATGATTGGGACGGATACACGGTATAAACGTCAACAACATTCTAGGCCTACTTGGAATCACACCCAAATTTACGCAGTTTAAAAAGCATGGCTTTAGACTGTAAATGGTTATGTAATAACAAGAATCCTCGCTGTATATCATGACGTCCTTTGAGACTACGACTGCATCATTCACTGTGTCACCCATCTATTGTCTGCATTGTCTGGTCAATTCAGTCTCCAGCTGCTTTTATGGGTGCGTCTTGGGTTGGTCTGGCATCATGAATTGATGCTGTATCGATCATCGGTCGTTGGTCATAGGTTGGTCCAACATTAACGAATTGTAGCCACGGGCGTAAATCGGGGGGGGGGGGGCTATTGAATCATTCCACCACTTTTCCGTGATGAAAAAAACAAAATGCGGATTTCGAGGTATTTTTCGAACGTCCCAACAACACAAATGTATTCAATATCGCACTGAAAAGTGGAGAAACGAGGTACAAAAGCTCTTAATATGCGCCGTTTTGATGTAAGCGCGAGTATACGTATTGATATACATCTATATCCTGAAGAGCGTCCCTTATAATATGTAATGCGGTGTCTGCCCCCCCCCCCCTTCAAATTTCCATGGCCGGGCAATTTTTAGATTTTGGTCACCCCCATTACCCCCACTCGCCGGCACAGATTTACGCCACTGATTGAAGTTCTCATATGGGAGTGTTTTGTTCCAGTAGTGGAGCTGTCCTCATTCGGATTTTGGAAAACTACACTCAACCAAAAAAGAAAGGAGCCCCCTTCCTATACTTTTTTGTCTAACTCAAAAACTACTGAGTACCTCTCGCTCAAATAACGACTAATCAGTACAGAAATTCCTTAGCAATCCAGCCGTACTCTTTATTTGGCCAAAAACAGTGATAATGTGTACGAATTTATGCAATTTATGACAAATGATACCGAAAACTGTTGCACGTTTGTATACGTGCAAGTTATGGTTCACACTCACCTTGCGCGTATACAAAAGTGCAACTTTTTTCGGTACCATTTGTCAAAATTGCATAATTTTGTACACATTATCACTGTTTGGGCCAAACAAAGAGTGTGGCTGGATTGCTAAGGAAATTCTGTACTCAGTCGTAATTTGAGCAAGATGTGCCAAGTAGTTTTTGAGTAAGACCAGAAAGTATTGAGGGTAGATGAATGTTTAGAAAGTGTTCACCAACCATTGCATGCACTCATTATTGCAAAAATACTGAGTCAAGGAAACTACCTTGGCACAAATCCTCATGTTCAGAGTGATTTTAGGATTGGTTTCCGCAATGATTAGCAAATGAAATCTTAAAGATCCCATCTGTTTTAGATTGATACTTCATAAAATTAACTTGAGTTAATTTTGTAAATGAAATTAATTTATCTAAATGAGCATTTCAAACTGCATTTAAGAACATTGAAATAAAAACTGAACCAATTCAGACTGTTAACTTTCACAATTTATATCATATTTACAATTTATAATATTTCTGCATAGACCTTATGCATTAAGGCGGAGGGAAGGACCAGATGGAGACACAGGGCCCAAGTGCAAAGATGAAGACAACTTGCCCCCCTTTGCCCCAGTCCCCCCCAGTTTTCCCCACAACACTTTATCTACAAATAGATTAATATTAGGTTTATTTTCTTCGCTGTTAAGATTCCTAACAAGTTGAATATAGAGAGTTAATCATCGGTTCTGTGGACACATTTTCGGCCAATGAAAGCATTACAATAACGTATAAACATTGGTAAAATTGGTAGACACAATACGCCACACATGATTGTATTTCTAGCCGTATAGATATCTTTGCACATTTTGTTTTATACCATTCTGCGGTTCGATACATTTCTCATTCATAAAAACGACTATACATTCAAGTTGCTCTAGTTGCTTATTTCCGGACCATTGAATGGTCCCCCCCCCAAAAAAAATTCCTTGCCCCCATATTGCCCCCCCCCCCAAATGTTTTAGAGTCTGGCGCCGCCTTGTCCGGTCCTCCTCGCCCGCGACTTAGCGCAGAAAACTTGCGCAGGTGTGTATATATAGGGGTTGAATGGCACTGCACTATGGCAAGGTATCGTTTTATGCGCCAGAATGATTCGAATTTCCGTTGAAGGATTTAGTGCTTGGTCAGTCATTCAGAGTGATATTTAAGCAACTTCATACAATTTAATTAGAAATTGCCATTATGAAAAAGGTCGCTGAATATTTATTTATACCAGCTATACTTCTAGTTTTTTGTTTCTTTTTTCAAAACATCTGGAATATATGCCGTCGAGTTTACACTTCGTTGGACTTTAAAGATTAGCCACGACTTTAATTAGTGACGTTATCGGTGACATTTGTATGTCTTTGTTTTATAATGCTTGTGAAAAACGGTTGGTTTCCGACAAAGTGACCGTTTCTATGCGAGATTAGTCGCGCATGGGATCCGCACTGCCACATGCCTGTGTGCTACGTCATCGTATAACAGCTCCACTTTTCCCTATAAACTCTCTGCACGGAGGTCATTATGATCCACTGACGGGCAGTTCCTCCCCTGAACTACTTCAGTGGACAATCATCAGTAGATGTCGGAAGGGATCGAGTGAACGAGAAGAGATACGGAAAAGGGTAAGCAGTGTCTATTGCGCAGACGCTTGTCTTCAAATCTAGACACGTTAGAAAACCATGCATGATAAGGAAATAGGAATGCAGACCAAAATAAGGAAAATCTAATAAAAAACATGTTTTGATTTTCCTTTTTTTTCGACTACAAATTTAAAGTATTAAATAGAAGACATGAAAAATAGAATAAAAAAATGTCAATCGTGATGTATAACCTCGACCAAACCAAAAAGTGAATCGACACTTGCAATGTTTGTTATGACTTATGATTAGGATGTGTGTTGATTCAAAATGTAATGTCCATAAAGAATTTGAATGCCTCAAAATCGGGAGCGATAACAATCAGCAATTTGCTTTAAATTCAATACGTTGAGATACATTTGAATTATGTTACTATTTATTTGAATAAAGCGGTCAAAATCTAAATTTTAATTTTTAAAAACAATCTTAAATTATACAAATACAAGTAGGTGACCCAATTTAAATTGTTAACAGGTAGATGTAAACGGGCAGACACAGAACTTCAATCAAGCAATCATCGAGAAGACCACAACAAAGAGACTTAAACAACCACGACAAGAGACTTAGAAAGACTCACACAACAGAATGGGAAACACACACTAGACGGACAGATGAACAGACAAACAGTAGACAGACACATATTCTGGTAGACAGTCAAAACTTAAGCATGGGACAAACGGAAGGACAGGGAGATGGACAGACATACAAACACAGCATACACGGCACCAATGCAAACAACATGACAGCCACGACAGAGAGAATTGGGCAGACTAAGAAACACACACAACGGACAGACCGACAAACGAACGGACTAACAATATACAACAGTGAAGACTAACAACGTTAAGCATGTGTATAGATGGACAAACGCAACATTGATAGTCTTCACGCGAACACACCTAGCGAACACAACAGTATACTGTTGGATTAACACATTAAAGTTATTCCTTAATTCATTTGATTTCAGGAAAGAGAAAATAAAATTAAAGTTGTGTATCCAGTGGGAACGAAAATGGTATTTTTCCTTAGGGAATTTCAATTATTGAATTACGATACACAAATGTTCAGTTCACAGCTGAGCGTTACTTTTTTTCCGATTTAATTCTCTTCAGATTAAGATGCTACGAACCATGTTAATGTGTGTTGGGTTCCTGCTAGTCTATTTCTCATTGGCTGACGCAGCATGCTACACATGTGGAAGTACAACAAACATCAGGAATCAGTGGCCTGGTAACTTTGATGCCGAGTTCTCAATTCCCATCACGAATTCAGTGTCCGGAGGCTGGAAGCTGAAACTACAGTTCTCCAAACCAGTCACAAGCCTTCAGGTGGGTACATTGTAGATATAGGAATGCAATTCATAGCGAACTTCTCTTATCAAAAAGACGAATGAAATAGTATGACAATGTAGATGAAGATATAAAGATATAAAGATATAGGCAGGGGCAGCGGAACCGGGGGAAAGCCCCCCCCCATTTTCCCAGGGCAACAAAAGTGCCCCTCTCGATCGCAATTATTAAAGCACCTCCTCGAGATGAAAACAAAACTTCCCCCTCAAACGCACACATATGAAAGCATGTGATCGCGCTACAAATAAAATTGCCTCCTCTCTTGCAATGAAAACTGACCCTCAAAAACACAAGTACTCCTCTCGCAGCAACAAGATTGTGCCCTTCTCGAGATGGAACCCCCCCCGAAAGCACAAATACCCCTCTCGCAATATACAATTGTGCCCCTCTCGAGATAGAAAATTGGCCATCACAAACGGTATTGCTCCTCTCGCGATAACTTCTCGAGATGTAAAACTGGCCCTCGAAAGCACACATTAAAGTGCCCCGCTCGCAACATTAAAATTGTGCCCCTCTCATTGGAAACTGGCCTTTACAAATAGTAGTGCTCCTCCTCACGCGACTAAAATGTTCACTGAGCTGGCCATCAAAGGCTAGAGTGCCCCTCTCGTTGATTCTTTCAACACTTCTCAAATACATGGTCGGACCCAGAGAGGTTATCGCCAGGCAGCGGCGGCGGAACGGTTTTCAAACTGAGAGGGGGGGGGGGGCATTACCAAAAGGGGCAATTGCTCATTTTTTTTTGGCACATCTGTGCTGAAATGTCGACATCTTTTTTTTTTCACCGGACACTTGGTATCGATAAAAAAGGATAGTTGGGGGGGGGGGGGGAGGGGGGATGGTACCATCTTCCAAAATAGGGCGCTCTTCATAACCGGCTGTTATGCAAACTACGCATTATGTCATGTGCCCTTTTTCAGGGTGTATGTTGTAAAGGTTTTGGGGCTTGGTTTTCATATTCTGTGTTCATGTCAGAACTCTCGTTTTGGGGAATGTTTACTGAAAACAAATTATCCGATATTTTAGGGCCAGTTTTGTTCTCATCTGGAGGGGGCACATTTATGTCCGCAAGAGGCCACTTGGGTAAATCGGGGGGGGGGGGGGGCAAGTCCCTTGGTTCCGCCGTCCCTGCTTTCAGGGGCTGAGGTTGTGCGGTGTGCCGAAGGCCCAAGGGCGGATCCAAGGGCGGGGGCAACGGGCTATGCCCAGGCGCGGTTCTACGGGGGGGGGGGGGGGGGGCGCTAGGGGGGCTGTAGCCCCCCCCCAATTTTTTTGTCTAGCCCCCCAAAAAATAAATTTCGTAAAAAAAAAAATTGCATTAGCAAAAAGAAGGATTGTGATGTACATGCGAACGGTCTCCCCCTAAAAGAAGAAATAGCCGTGACAAGGGTGCATTAGTTAATATAGTTTGAATGATTTTAGGATTTTATTGGCGCTCCCCATTGAAAATATGGCATGAGCCCCCCCCCCCCACCCCCCCCCCCCCACCTATTGATTTTCGGAGGCCTAAGTGTGTGGAAAAAATAACCGGTCAACATTTCAGCACGCCTCCCTGAAAAAAATCTGGATCCACCGTGCTAGCCCCCCAAAATATTGGTTCTAGAACCGCGCCTGGCCATGCCTCCCCCACGTCACAAAAAAGGCAGCCACGACGTACACCACCATCTTTTCCTGCCAAAAAAGTTTAAAGTGGTCAGAAATTGCCTCAGATCACACCACAGAGCATCTATAATCCATTTCTTTTTCGAGGCCCTTGGGCCGGCCCAGAACCAACGCCGTGAATTTGTGGACCCACTTTTTTGGGGGGGACCAATTTTGTGCCCATCCCCCTCCCCACAAAAAAGGGTTCTCGATCCACCATTGTGGAGGCCGAAAGGCTCTCACTTTCATACCAACGGAAGGTGCCCCTTTTTCTGGATAAATGCTCCTCTTTTGGCGTTGGTCAGGATTTCTGAACAGTTTTTTTTTTCTTATGATTTTGACCGATTTGCCTTTTATGGAGTGTCATTAATTTGAAAGCTCTTACTAAACTTTATGTTTTTATTTTTCTTCAAATTGCACTGCGTAAATAAACTTTGTTTCTAAACTGAGTGGTGCAAACTTGTAATGTTCATCCCATTTTCCTTTCTTTTTTTCATTCCAAACAGATTTGGAAAGCAAATATCAAGAACACTAACGGCGACTCCACTCTGTACATCCTGGAGAACAAAAGATGGAACCGAAACCTGTCCCCAGGACAGAACCTAGCCATGAGCTTCCTCGGTCAGTTTGACGGTCAAGCTCCCAGCTTTACTGTCCGTCTACTTGGCCAGGCAGATTGTGGTCAATGTTCGGACAGCGCAGTTATTCACACCACACCACGTCCAGCAGTTTCCACTCCCCTGGGCTGCAGAACCTGCTGTTCTTCGGCTCAAATCACCCACGAATGGCCAGGAAACTTCAATGGAGAGTTCATCTTACCGATCGAGAATGAGGTGACCGGTGGCTGGGAGGTGGAGCTTCTGTTCTCCGAGCCAGTTTCAAATCTTCAGGTATTTTGAACTTCTGTAAATAAAATGACAAGAATCCCCTTGACGACGATTTCTGTCACAGAATCTTTTATTTTATAAAACGAATTGATTCTTAAATACCTTAAATCTTTTTCACAGGTTTACAATGCCCTAATTACCGACATCTTGAATGGAGGTACAATTTACAGATTGAGGAACAAGAATTACAATGCTGACCTCGCTGCGGGGACTGTAAACACCCAAAGGTTTCAGGCTTCTACGACAGTTACTCCTAGCTTCACTGCTCACATGGTCGGTCAACCAGAATGTTGCCAAGACGATCCAACATCCTGTCAAACGTCTACAACAGTCTCACCACCCACAACTGAACCTTCAACGGAACTTCCAACAGAACTTTCCAGTGAACCTCGCACTGTACCTTCAACAAGACTTCCAATTACTGCACACACAACAACTGCGGTGAAACCCGTTGAGACAACACGCGTCACTCAATGGACTTCGTCAGGTAATGCTAAAAAATATTGTATTTCTCTTGTTCTTAAGGCATGGACAATTCAGAACTCCTCATACAATGACCGAGTTCCCCTTGCATTTTTGATCTTTGTGTTTTCTGTAGCTCCCTACGACTATGCTGAAGTGATTCATAAGTCCATCTTGTTCTATGAGGCACAGCGATCAGGACCTTTACCACCCGATAACCGCATACACTGGAGATCTGACAGCACTTTGAATGACATGGGAATTAATGGAGAAGACTTGACTGGTGGATGGTTTGATGGTAAATATGCAACTAACTGTGGACTTCTAAACAAAAGATGTCCACATAAACCAGGTTTGAGATACGTTGTGTAGACTTGCCCACGTCCTCGCAAGGTTTTCCCCCACAAAATAGAGTTGTTGATTTTACTCAAAAACTAGGAATTTCCAAGGTATGTTGATGTGTCGCAAATGGTTGAGTTTTTGAAAAGGGATATTAATAAGTCCGAATTTCAGCCCGGGAAATTAATTCTGGATAAAATAAGAGCATTTTGAAACTGTACTTTCAAACTCGAAAACTTTAGTACACGAGAACAAAGAAATATCTGCACAAGGATACAACTTTCAGTATTCGTGTGTGTGTGTGTGTGTGTTTATAATAATTAGTGACATTTCTGTTTACAGCTGGAGACCACGTGAAATTTGGTTTTCCCATGGCATCAACTGTAACTGTTCTTGCCTGGGGCTTGGTCGAGTACCGCGACGCCTACCTTGCATCAGGGGAATTAGACAACATGCTGGATTGCATCAAGTGGGCAACTGACTACTTCCTAAAATGCCACACTGGACAATATGAATTCTACGGACAGGTAAGATTCACGATATAACACAGATTATCAAATCTCAAAATCAGTCAATAAAAACCTATTTAGATTTTTGAATTCCAGTTGGTCCTCTGCCCGGTTATGCAAAACATTGCTGTAACTTCAATATGTTATTCAGGTTGGTGACGGCAACCTTGATCATGCGTACTGGGGCCGACCAGAAGACATGACAATGCGCCGACCTGCCTTTAAGATCACAGCTGCTAACCCTGGGACTGAGGTTGTTGCTGAAACAGCTGCAGCATTGGCTGCTTCCAGCATTGCCTTTAGGCAAACAGGTAAGATAAAGCTTATGTTGTAATGTTGCACATTGTCACTTCAAAGATTTACATAAAAAAATAAAATAAAAATACATTTATTGAGGCAACAGTGACCGTGACCAGTGAGGGTATAGTTTGGCGAATATCATGCAGTAAAATGACGCACAAGAACCGATGTGTTTTGGTTTGTGGGCCATTCCACTCTACCAAGGAAGTGATCATATTTTAGCCTGCCAGACTGACATTAACATTTACACCACTGATTTTTATATAAAATGTGATTCACAGCAACTTTATAAACATTTCTCTACAAATAACTTTGTAGATCCAACTTACGCCGAAGAACTTCTTCAGAATGCGATAGAACTGTACGCTTTCGCTGACCAATACAGAGGAACTTACACCAATGCTATTCCTAACGCTGCTAGTTTCTATAAGTAAGTCTTCATTTTTTTCCCGAAGATTCTCAGAGTAATTATGATATTGATTGTGGTTTCAGTGTTTTGATGGATGCATTTCCTGATGCTTTTTTTTGGTCTACCATTTTACTTCGAGTTATGAACTGTATGTTGAGTGAGATTGGGAACTAAAACTATATAGACCAAGCTGTTTGGGGATGGCATCAGTTGAAATTGCGTACAAAATCGATTCTTCCCCGTGAATTGTTATTTTCTGTTCATCAATTAGTTCTTATAGTGGTTACGGGGATGAGTTAGCATGGAGTGCAGCATGGTTGGCCCGTGCTACCGGTAACAACACGTATCTGACGGCGGCAAATAAGCACTACGATGCCTTCCATATCGGAGATGGCACACCCTGGGCATTTTCCTGGGATGATAAGAAAGCTGGAGTTATGGTATGTGGTACTACGTGTTGCAAACAAACAATGTTGGTTCAAAACAAATAAATAATCAATCAGAAGGACTCCCACTGTTTAAGCCTGCAGTGTGCCACAGTACGTGAGAACGTTAATATAGTTACTCCGTCATTTTTTGGACAAACTATTTCGTTCCCTATAGAAATATAGCTCAAAAACATCGTGAGTGCCTCTTTAAACCTGGTTGAACTTTTCACCCAAAGGCAAAGATCATACCCAGGCCAACTCCCATAGGATGTGTATTGTCCGGCTCCAACCATCACAAGGCTTGAGAAGTACAATGCTGTTATCACAAGGCCATCAATCATCATGTCATTAGGCCTGTATATCCTCGGGAGCGGTGGCCCGGCAAAAACCAGGAACGATAAAACCTTTTTTTCAAACTGGTACTGACCAAACGCAGAGTAATCAGGGCATACACCATTTTCTTTGCTTGAAATTATTTTCTTAAGCGAAGAGGGCCTGTATTCATCTATTTAGACACTTTGAAAAGAAATGATGTTCACCTAAATATCTGAAGGGATTGTTTTAGACCGTAACACTCATACACCAATAATATACTGAAAACTTCAGTATTGTGATGGATTACAGGTAAAATGAAACGATGGCTCATCGCAGCGTTAAAATCTCCAACGAGAAATTTTCTCAACATCAGAAGCTTAGCAGCTATAGTGTGTGGACTTTTCGATCTTTGGATTTGAGCTACAAACGTAAAGATGAGTCAAGATTGGTGGAGAAGTTTGTGGTCACGTGGTCTAGTGCATCCGATGATGAATGATGATGCATTTCTAATATTGCAGATGATGATGTATCAATTGACTGGTGCTACTCGTTATAAGACTGCTATCACCAATTACTTGAATAGCTGGCAACCAGGGAACATCCAGTACACACCAAAGGGACTAGCATGGAGCGTCCAGTGGGGAACTAACCGTTATGCGGGTACGCAAATGTAACTGTTATCAAAATAATCGCTTATTTCATATATTTCTCATATAATTCAACAATATGCATAAATCTAAAATTGTAACCAAATTATTTATTTGCGTCTTATTTGTTGACAGCCAGCACTGCCTTCCTTGCTCTGGTTGCTGCACACGAAGGAATCGAAGTAAGGAAATACCAAGACTTTGCCAAGCAGCAGATTAACTACATGTTGGGTGATGGTGGCAGAAGTTTCGTGGTAGGCTTTGGCAATAATCCGCCGCATTCCCCGCACCATCGAGCAAGGTAAGCTGACTAAACAGGGCGAGTCAATAAGAAGGTGACCGAATTTACGCCAAAAAAAATATTTAAACAAATATTTAGCTCGCTCATAAATAAATAACATGTAAAAATCATAAAAGAATAACATAGGGATGAGGTACATATTATTGATTAGTAACTGTTATATCTATTTTAATAAAAGATCACAAAATTCAGCTGTCCACCACTTATCATTTACCACCCTACGCACTGAATAAAATAAAGGTAAGTTAAGAAAAAGGAAACCCAAATGTCGCCCCTATTTTTGTTTTTGTTTTTAAGAAGTTCTGCATTTCCAAATTTAGGATATAAAAAAACCAGTTAATAAGTTTTCATTTAGTACAAGAATCATTCAGATTACTCATGGTCTTTTCCAGCTATGCAATTTTGAACACTAACACCGTGTTTAACTGTGTCCACGGATCACAGTAATAAAGGTAGGTGATATTTCAGCAAAACGTTAACTAAAAACCACATCAGGACACGCTGATAACCATGATAACGGGCACTTATCATAACATTTATTTTAAAACCTGCTGCTTCCAATGTTAAAATGTCATGCTTTAAAATGTCAAGAGTTTATATTGCCCTGCTTTCTACTTGGCTACCCCGGAGACTTATGGAATTATTCTGATATCATTCTCAGGATATGACATGGTTTCATTTTACTGACACATCACATACCTTAAATGTGATCCGTGGACAATGTTAAACAACAGTCTTTGTGTTCAAGAGATCATTACCGAAAAAGTACATGAGCGATTAGAATGATTCTTTCTTTAAAAGAAAAATTATTAATTGGGCTTTCATATCCCAGATTTGGAAAACGCTACAAGCAAAAATTCTTTTAAAAAAATAGGGAACACCATTTGTTTTTTTTTAGTATTCACCCTGTATTGAAACATAGATGTTTTCCCACCTCCATGCATGAACGGAAACTTGCAAAGGAAAAAAAAAAACCCAGCCAAAATGATCACCATCAATATTTCAGAAGGGCAGAGTTGACTTATTCCTTATATTCCAAATCTTAATATAAAAATAATATATCGGTCTTGATTCAACCAATTAAATAAAATCTTATTTGCATTTTGAATGTCTTTGGGATTTAGCGCAATATATAAATTCCAATGCATTGCTAATGGGGTCGCTTAGTAAAACATCCATAACTTCTGATAGCATGGACGAATTTCAGTAATTCTTTCTTTTTTTGACAGCGACCTGAGCTGTTATGACTTTTTATCCTCGAGCTTTGCGCATCTTTTGATACAAAAAACATAAACATCGGACCACGGGTTGCGCTTACATATATATTCCCCTGATCATGTGCCAATTAAACATTCTTAATACCATTTCAGCTCCCTTGGGAGTATACAGCTCGATGGAGCCTGTTAGGCGCAAGGCAGCTAATTCAATCACAACAACCGTCTCTGCCCTCACAGGTACCCATTTGCTCCTAGCCCCTTGGTGGAGAGAAGCAACGAGTGACAAAGTGCCTTGCCCAAGGGCACAAGCACCATCGACCCCGGGCTGGACTCGAACCCACAACCTGCAGCTTACCCACAGACCACGAATCCAGCGCCCTTAGCCACGAGGCCACAACACTCCAGTAAAGGCACTTTTTTTACGAAGCCCCTTTTTATATTTGTTTATTGGACTTTCGCTTTTATTTCAGCTCCTGTCCTGATTTTCCCGCGCACTGTGGTTGGAGTAATCTAAACGACCCTGACCCTAACCTCCACGTGTTAGAGGGCGCCCTTGTCGGTGGGCCAGACATTAATGATGGTTTCGTCAATGACAGGTTGGACTACATTCAGAACGAGGTAGCGACCGATTACAATGCTGGTTTCCAGTCAGCTCTGGCAGGTGGGTAGTAATGTAAAACAGGATTGTTTTTCTCATTTTGAGGCAGTGAGAATGTTGTTAACTCAAGACAGCATAATCGGTTTTTTTTTTTGTATTTCCAATGTCTCTCAGAATGCATCAAATAGCCTTGTACTTTACTGTGCCTTAAAGGTTTTGCAAGGGGCTGTATATTCTTCATTCAAGAAGTTATCTTCACGGTTGTCCTATCTAGATGCTGCAGTCGATTGGTTGATTGCATCAATAATGGTCTTTATTTTAAAGATTCAGTGGACCAATCTCACGCAAGATCATTTCATCAACTCTCATCATTAATTCTCATATATTACTCACCATTTTGTTCCTATTAACATACATGATTTGTTTGTTCTTTCGTTTCTCAGGTTTGAAGTTTTTGGACATGAATGGCCTATATTAGACGGCAAAGGGACAACTAATACTCTTCGATTATGTAAGATAATTCCAAACATGAGTCAAACAGCTGGAAGCTGTGAATTAAAATTTAAGTGCTTAGTGGTTGAATATCAATTTTTTATTTATCAGTTTTTCTCAAAAACATATTGTTGCGTTTCTCAGGTTTGAATATTTGGACATGAATGACCAATATTAGACGGCAAAGGGACGGCTACTCTTCAATTATGTAGGATTAGTCCAAACATGAGTCAAACAGTTGGAAGCTGGGAATTAAAATTAAAGTGTTGGTTCGAATATTAATTTTATCAGTTTCTCAAAAAGATAAAAAAAAAATAGCCCGGTTATTTTCAACGCTTTCATTCACGTTATTATGTGGCTCATTGAATTGCGAAACGAAATAGAAGAAATACGAGAGCAGTGACGAAATCGTTACATTCAAATAAAAGTGAACGTTAACGAAATAGTTGGGTGTAGAAATCTAAACGTAAGCATAACCAGTGAAAATTGTGGCCATTAACGTCAATAAAATAGAAAATTGAAGATTTGAAAAGAATTGCGAAACGGAATAAAAAAATTAGAGAGCAGTGACGAAATCGTTACATTGAGCAGTGACGAAATCGTTACATTTTTTTTCAATACAAACTGAAGGAAAATCTCTCTCTCTCTTCCAAACCACCCCATCACGAAAATGTTTGAACCTAACGCTGTAGCGCTGGCTCTTTGGAACAATACGCGCTACGCGCAACGCTGAACGGGCACACCAGCATGCATTTGCACACAAATACCGCGTCATGATCCTAACTGTTGAATAGTATTTCCCATTCCCCATGGGCGGATAGTACTTTTTGAGCCGCGGCGTGAATGGGAGCAATAACGAATGCCATGTGATGTGAGTTCCACCAACCAAATGACTAGGATCTGTATGTCAGTTATATAAAGTATTACAACACCTCACCCACAGATTCTTTGTCTTGATTGGCCGAGAGCGAGTCACATGATACTTTCTATTTTTGCTATCTTTCTGTGCACGGCCAAATGTACTATGCGCATAGCAACCAAAGTACTATACCATTAGCAACCAAAGTACTATTTCCACGGCGCGGTATTTGTGTGCAAATGCATGCTGGTGTGCGCGTTGCGCGTTGCACGCAGCGCGTTTTGTTCCAAAGAGAGCGCGCCGCAGAGTTGGGTTCAAACATTTCGCGAAGGGGTAGTTTGGAAAAGAGAAATACATTTTCTTCCAATTTCGTATTGAAATTGAAGTTTACTTCAACTGTGTTCAGATATAAATAATTTAAATATTATAAACAAGCAGAATCTGTGGGTGAAGTGTTATTATACAAATATTGAATGCTTCGAGTGGTGTAGTAAACTTAGCCTCCCGAGGTGATCCATGGACATTCTATTTTCCCGAGGCGAAGCCGAGGGAAAATAGAATGCTCCATGGATCACCGAGGGAGGCTAATTTAATTTTCACCACGAGATAAAGCATTCAATATTATTATCACGCAGTGAAGACCGGCTCCTTACACTGTTATTCCCATTAATAAATACCTTTTTAACGAAATAAACAGTTAAAATGCTTCAATTTTGTGACTTCCTTTCGGCGATATTTCCAGACTTTTTTGTGTTCATGTTCATGGGCCATATTTTAACTTATGCGTGGTACCCTGTCTCTTCGATAAGCGTTGTTATATACACCACAGCCGGGCCCAGGCTGTGCTGGACATAGCTGGACAACGTCTTCATTGCGTACGCGTACGACGTCCAGGGTTTGGACTTCTGCTGCCGTAGAGAAACAAATTACACCAATGTTTTCATATTTTTACTTAATGGAGGAAGCTGAAATTTCGTTTACACACTCCTTGTGTCCTGAATTACAAAGATGCTTGGTTTAGGAAAGGTAAATATGTCGTTGGGCAAAGTGTATAAAGAAAATAAATCGTAGATCTACGCTTTCGTCGTAAACATCTTCAGTATACTGCATTATAACACCTCACCCACAGATTCTGTGGCTTGATTGGCCGAGAGCGAGTCACATGTTACTTTCTAATTTCTGTGCACGGTCAAAAGTACTATACCCGTAGCAACCAAAGTACTATACCATTAGCAACCAAAGTACTATTTCCACGGCGCGGAATTTGTGTGCAAATGCATGCTGGTGTGCGCGTTGCGCGTAGCGCGTATTGTTCCAAAGAGAGCGCGCCGCAGACTTGGGTTCATACATTTCGTGAAGGGGTAGTTTGGAAGAGAGAAATACATTTTCCACCAATTTTGTATTGAAATTGAAGTTTATTTCAACTGTGTTCAGATTTAAATTATTTAAAATATTAAAATCAAACAGAATCTGTGGGTAAAGTGTTATAAAACAAATATTGAATGCTTTATCTCGTGGTAAAGTAAAACTAGCCTCCCTCGGTGATCCATGGACCATTCTATTAAAATAGAATGTCAATGGATCACCTTTGGAGGCTAGTTTTACTACACCGCTCGAAGCATTCAATATTTGTATACTGCTGTATGTACGATGTCCAGTCGTTTTAAAACTTCCTTACGCGCGACCGCACCCATAGCAACTGTGTTGCCTATGCGCGCGTCAGTCTCACGCGAAGGTGGTTGAGCGCATACATAGTGCTCAACCTCGACCCCAGGGTGTCGAGCAGTACGCGCCCATCACTACCTGCTCTCTCACCCTGGTATTGGATCATTTGCATGTGCAAGATTTTTGAACACGTATGCAAATGAGGAATAGTCTGGTGCCTACATGTGCGTTACATTATCGTTCGTTTTTGTATGCGGTGTCTGGGGTAAAAACAGAGTCAATTCGTCGCAGCGCGATCACAGCGTGAGTTACGAAAACGCGATTTATTTAATTAAACTGTTACGATCTTATCGAGACAACATGCAGTATCACATTTCATATTAATATGAACACATTGGAAAAGGAAAGGAATGTTTTTGAGAAGGCGTGGACGAATGATCGTGAAAACACGTACTGCACGTTGTGAATAACAACACCAAGTACACGATCAAAATTCATTACTAGCCAATTGCGATATCGAATCAGGATACAGGAAGAAAGTTTACTATCCAGGGTTTACTATTGGAAACATGGTTGGAAATAAAGTAAGCACTGGGGACGAGGTTGCATAGTGCTGTATTGTTACAAGCTGCCGTATGACTGTTGTAAATTTGGCCAATCATTGCCTTCCATGGGGCTGGATCAATGCTGGTTTAGGGGCCATTTTTTCGCTTGTTCTTTGAAGCCGGTCCATTATCACCGTTAATGCCCGGCCACGGGATCGAGTCTCGACCAATCAGAAACCATCAGCTCTCCAAGGTATTTATTAATTTAAATTCACGGCGGCTTTTAAGGGACAACACCCAGAACATTTTCTTCTCCATTGTCCCTCCTCAGGGTATGACATACGCCGTATATCAGATGCAGTTTTGTACTGTTGGATACTGGGGGCGGGGATGCACGCCCCTCCCCCAGCCCTTCACTTAAATAAAAAACAAAATAGAACAAATAAATTTGTGTTATTTTGCTCTGGATCTCTTGTGGCGTATCCAGAATTTGACAATCTTCAAGAAGGTGCAAGAATCTCACTATGTAATTTCATTTCATTCTGAAAACGGTTTTCAGGAGCAATATTATTGTCATTAAAAGTTCCACATGTACAATGGGATGTACAATTTTTCGGATGAGAACAATTTACTTGGATTGCATTGTACATGTGCAACTTTTAATGACAATAATATTGCTCCCGTAAACTAAAAAGAATTTAATAATTGTTGACAAGTTGTTGGTTAGTGTTTTCTCAATTATTGGTTACTAAAAAGAGTCATAATTATGTTGGGTACTACCTGTATATTTTATAGATTTGCTGAATTATAAGGCAATTACGATTAGTTTGTGTTTGCGAAATGCTTAAATAAGGCATACCTTTTAAAGCGTAAATCAGAGATACCTTTGAAGCGAGGCTTTTTTTTTTTTTTTTAAATATTTTATTACAAACAACATCATCAAACAACAAACTTGAACACTTTTAAACTTAAAACTTGCAGCAAAACCCTTCAAAGCATTTAAAAGGGGGAGTTGATCACGCTACATACTTTTTTGATCTTTTTAAAATACGATTTTCAAAGAGATGTTTCAAATTAAAGTTACAAAGTTGTCCTTGATCACCCGACGACAATACTTTTAATAATGGCTTGGTCTTCAATTATTTTTGAATTAAAAATACTTCGAGTCTAGACAAAATGTTAAAAAATATATGTTAATGTTTTGGTTTTCAATTATTTCAGAATTAAATATAACTCAAATCAAGACAGCATGTTCTAAAAAAACATATGTTGATGACTTAGCGTTCAATTATTTCAGAATTAAATATAACTAGAGTTTAGACAACATGTTAAAAAAAAGGGGTTGATAACTTGGTTGTCAATTATTTCGGAATTAAATGTAACTCGAGTCCAGACAACATGCCCTAAAAACATATGTTGATGACTTAGTTTTTAATTACTATGTAATTAAATATAACTCCAGTCAAGACAGCATGTTCTAAAATATAAACGTTGATGACTTGGTGTTCCATTATTTCAGAATTAAATATAACTCAAATCAAGACCACCTGCTCTAAAAAACATATGTTGATGACTTAGTGTATAATTAGTTTAGAATTCGATATAACTCCAATCAAGCACGTTCTGAAAAGAAGTCGAACTAACGATGATTGCATTCTGTTACAATTCAAACTGTTCAAAATTACGTTTGATATACAGTCGAACCCTGATAATAAGAGCACTGTAAATAAAACGTCATGCTTATAACCAGCAAAGTTCAGGTCCCAAGTCTTTGTTTTTCTTTGTTTTCCAATAATGTTAGTACAAGGTACCTGTTATAACAAGGTAATTTGTAAAGTCCCAATAACTACCTTGTTATAAAGGTGTTCGTCTGTATGCGTATCAGGATAACATGGGTGCACCCCCATTAGTTTTGGCTTTGAGTTTGTATTCGACTATTACTGTTATTAAACATGTCTTCCGATCATATAAGGCATTTTACCCAATGTATTTCGCACTCTACATTTGTGAAGGATATATTCATTTGTTGGCTGATTTTTTAAAAATACGATTATAAAAGATATGTTTTAAATTAAATTCGCAAAGTTTCCCTTGATCAACTGACAATAATAAATATTGATGACTTGGTGTGTCGATTGCTACAGAATTAAATATAATTTAAATCAAGACAGCATATTAAAAAAAAATAAGGAAAAAAAAAGAAATCAACTAACGATGATTGCTTTTTGTTACAATTTATAGGACATCGATGGTCTTCATCAGAGACTGCTGTGGTAAAGCCCGTTTCTCGATTATCACAAACACGTCTGTTGGCTCTAGCACAGATTTGCTGTACAAGTAAACTCATAGGGCTGATTTGTGTCATCAATGACGTCCACATAGTGTTGGCATTTGAATGTCCTTCATAAAAAGAAAAGTCAAACAAAGACAAAATATGAAAATTAAATAAATCCCTTAATAATTGAATAACTTCAGGTAGCCAAATCGCACCCCCCCCTCAAAAAAAAAAAGTCTAGGAAGTAATACAAATACACTGAGAGCCCTAATTAAAACCTATGTAAAGCATGCATGGAACAAAGGTGTGTTCAAGCAATGTGTTAATAACACAGGTGAATGAGTGCACATGTGACCTCTGATTCACGTCGAGTAGAAATGTTATAAACATCCAACCATTTGCAGGCCTTTGCTTTGCCCATTAGTTGGGTAGGAAATTTTCCCAACTTTCTGAGAAATTTCTTTTTCTGAAAAACGTTCGGTAGGAACTATTTTCGATGTTTGTGGAAACTTATTGTGTTTTTTTTGCAATGATCCGTCCGCTTAATTTACAAACCTGCCTTAGTTTTAATTTAAACTCAAATTTCTCATTGCACTGAGATTACAATAGGAGATAGTGGACAAGCCAAAATGGAATATTACTCTTTGAACGGCAATTTAGGGGAATGGCAGGCAATTATGTCAAATCAATCAGTTGAAGGATGGAGTAGAAAATGTAGGTAGAAGTAACCCTTAATTTTGACCGCAAAATATTTAATTTGCATAAATTGTTAATCCCTGCCATGTAATATGCTTTATTTTTTTTTTTTGAAAAGTTTATTTTGGTGCTTCTACTTACACATGCCTAGTTAAATAATATTTTCTTAAGCATATAAGTGACTGAATAATTATGAGGACATAGTAACGATCCGAAATGGCTACTAGTATACCTTGTCTCCAGCTATCATCAACTAGTCTTGCCACACCTTAGTATTGATGAGCTCTAAATTCACCAAAATGCTTACTGGCACAGTTACCCTATTACAACCTTTATGGAAAATCATATGAACAATGATAACATTGTGATATTTAAAAACGGAAAAACGAGCTGGCTGTCCGTAAAATGGGCTTCAATTAGGTGAAGGGTCGCCTAACGTGGGCATACGTTCCCTTTCTTTTTAATTAGTAAAACTGAGTAATACTTATAGCGAGTGAAGGCCGAATATTTGGGACTATTTTATATTATTATAGGGAATCCACAGAATGTTATTTTTCAAAGAAATCTGACACAATTTTTGTATCATTGAATAAATCAGCTGAATATTGTGTTTACATTTCGGAGGTATAACAACTTAAATGGCCAAGTTTGAAGTTTAGCCTTTTATCACAAACAACAAACAAAATTATGATGTTTTCTGGACCTTCGCACACTGTGCAGACGCACACCGGGCCCACACGTACCTTTATGAAAACTGTGCTATTTGAAGCATACATCTGGATTATATCTCTAACGGTTGATTTTTCAGCAATTTTGTGAGGGTTAAAGGTCGTCTCATGTTTACTTCCGGTCTGGTGACGTCATCAATCTTTCCCCCCTCAACTTGTTCTTAGCATGAAGCTGATTATATACATCAATTATAAAGTGATTTCAGCAAACTTCGCCACACACATCAACTGATTATTTATTTAAACAATGTTCAACCTGTCGCTAGAGGGCGCTCTAACATTTTTATGACAACACCGGTAATTTAGTTTGGAAATCAGAACCTGGCCAGAGACTAACATCGTTGTAAGCAAGTTCACAACTTTTCCACTTTCGAATTATAAGGCACGTGAAGGGTCACGAGATTTTACTCACAGAAGATAAAATGAAGATCTCGGATTATTCTTTCAATTCACGCAAAAGTCAAGTTCAGATCTCTTAAGGTTGATTATTGATTTTCAGAAATTAAATCTTTTAATCTTCAATTGCTTATAATTTGATAAGTGATGACGTCACTTTAACTTTTACCGATAACACATCCCGGCCTACATACTTACCGAGTTTCAACCCAATACAGTTCTCTACATGTAGGGCTTTTAATTATGCACATGTAAGATGACGTCACGTGACCCATGGTGACGTCATGACGACTTCACTCTTCGGGACACAACGTTTCTATAGGGACTGTGCCTATGCTTACTTGAAGATGTATGACAAAGAAAGTGGATGTTACAAAAATCATACAAAGACATGACGCTCCCCGACTGCGTGGCGTCAATTTATTGCGATTTTATGTCCATAGGGACGAAGAGGGCTAAGTAATATCCTATTTTCAGAATTCAGAATCCAAACGCGCATTTTGAACGTTGTGTTTCTCAGAAAATATGCTAAGTATAATTGAAATGTTAAAATATAACGGAAGAAGAAATTCTAAACTTCATGTCAGTGAAAAAAATCGCCGTCATCGATGCCGAAACGTCAATACTGGTTACTAGTAAAGCTGACCTTCAAATCTGGAAGAAATCGTTCGAAAACTTCTCCAAAATGTATTTATCCCAATTTCTAGGAATTTACCCAAGTTGTTATTTCACGAGTAGTTGAACACTTATATCATCTAAGTATAGTCCGAATTTCAGCTTAATCTGTTGTGGCGGACGCTAGTGTTACACCTGGAACCATTTCGAAGAGGATAAACAAATTATTGCCGACCAAACCCATGGACATTGTTCAGCAAAAGCGCCGTAGGCACTACGGCTGCGGATTTTGGCCCAGCACACAATGATGAAGGGCATATTAACATATTCATTAGCGTCACATGGCGTGGGTCTCGGTATCGATCAATGGAAGCCGGTAAAAAGGGTGAAATTTGTCAATTAACAACTCGTGAAGGAGGCTTTTATGCAGTTGTTTACTGCACACCGCAATGGATAGGGACCTCATTAATATTCGTGAGGCTTGAAAAGATTGATAGATATTGCGCACGCCAGTGTTACAATTTTCAAAATAGCACGTAGCAAGGGCTATTTTTCCAATTTGAACGAAAAGTAATGAGCATATCACAACGACTTTTAGCACATACTTGGATCACTATAGGGGAAATAAATCCTGAAAGTTGCATAAAGATACGGTCTTCCAAACTGGAGAAATTAAATTTCAAAGATTTTACCCGCCAACGTGAACATGTCTGTGCTCATGTAGTGTCATTCAAAATAAAGTGTTACGTAACCTTTAAAAATCGCATTTCGCAACCATATGGCTGCATGGTTCCTTGCTGACTGACTCACTTGAAGTTATTGGCACATTAAAAAAAAGGCAAAACCAATTCCGTGTGCAGCCACTAATTTGAAAATTTCAAAAATTCATGTGGAAGACAAGGTAATAACCATTCATCATAAAAAACAATCATTTTTCTCAATATACTCTATTTGCAACACAAAAACCTGATCTTAGGTCCAGATCATTCTGACTCACCTTCTACATGTACCATCTTTGACAATAACAGGATCGATTAGACATTATTGGCAAAAAATTGTGACACTGGAAAGACGAATTGCGATGTTTTAAAACAATTTATGACAATTACCCATGAAAATACATAACTTAGCAGTGAAACAATGATTTCTACTTCTTATTTTGAATACGTTATCAGAAACAACCATTGAAGTGGTTGCAAATTATATGCGCACCATAACGTTATTACAATATTAATGTATGGAATATTGCAAGCATTGTGATGACGAATTACCTTGAAATATTCATACTAAAATGCTGCATTGGAGAATTTAATGTATCTTGCTTGTTAATTAATCTTATACGCCTAAATAAACATGTTTGACCAATCACCAATATAACATGAAACGTCAGTAAATTTCCACCTGTATAAGGTTGAGGCTCTGTGAAAGTACCCCTTTAAAGGCCAGAAATGTAGACTGTTTCCCGGCCCCCCTTAAAACATGGGGACCGGTAGCTAGCTCCCTTTTAAAGCCATTGATTAGATCACCTTTGCGCACGCGCATCATGGTTGTTTATTTTTGAATCACTGCTTAGCTTTGTGCATGGACGTTGATTGAACACACGATTGTCAAACAAAATCACTCTTGTCTTAATTACCACCAAAAGAACACAAAATTGTCAGTTTCTCCATGACCGGGCAACGGTCAAGCCTCGAAGACACGTTCGAAGACACTTTTGGCTATATAGCTTTGGCACATTTGCGCGCGAACCAGTACAGTTCCGTACGCACACGCTGTGTGTCCCGTCGACGCACCCAAGGGGCTCTCAAAAGTGGTAAAAACGCGCCCTCTTTAGGTGGTGCACGGAGTCCACAAACAACAGATCTGATATACATGTATTCTCAAATGTTTGCCGTCTGAAGCAAAACGTTTACTTAAAAAACCACTGTATACAATAAACCCCTCCTTGGTGAAAAAAATGTGAAAGTCTATGGTATAATGGAGAGGTCAGGAACCAGTCTACGGGTTGCCTGTATTCTCATTTGGCTGCCACGCTCGGTGAGCATAGACCGTATGCATAGCAGCCATCTTAGAGGGCAATGCCTCTGTTTTGCTGGGATATGCATGAGTGAAACTTTGTGCATTGTGATACTGAATTATAATAACAAAAGATGCCTTTCAAGATGGCCGCTACCCATGAGGACTATTCTCATAAATGGCTGGAAAGCGTGCGTGTAATCTGCTGAAATGTAACCTTTGTGTCGCCTATAAGTATGTTTTATCAAACTTAAACCTAAATTACTTAAAACATCCAACTGATTATTGATTTAGTGCTGTTCTCAGTAGACTTATCAGAGTATAAATTATAAGAGAAACCACCTGAAAAAAAACCCAAAACCTTCACCAAATGAAGACAATTCAAGTTTAATACAAGAACAGCCTAGTATATACCGTAATGTTTTGTATCTCGGCGGTTATTTAAAAGCTTTTGTCCTTCCAACTGGGCCTATTCGGCACAAAATAGTGACAGTGCGCATATGAATGGTTCTAAACTAAATTCTGGCTGCCAGGTTTTCAAAACATTGTGCATTTTAAAGTTTTGACGCGAATCAGTGACGCCGGAAATCTTAAAGACAATCGCTTGTTTGCAAGGTCACGTGATCACTGTACATGAACATTCAAGAGGCCCAAGTCGTTGGTGTTTGGTCAGTCAGTCTGTTAGCCCATGGGTGCCTTTCCTCCAGGCCATTTGATCAGCTCATCATGAATGATGATGGCTCCAGTGGCCTCGTCGAACGTACCAATAACCTACCAGGAGAAAAAAAGTCTGGTCATTAAAGTATCTTTATATTTAATTCAATTGTATTTAACATTATCCAACATTTGGCCAGGGCTTATTCATGTGGGATCTATCGGAAGAGGGTGTATGAGGAACTGGGACAGCGTGACGAGTCATACGCGAGGCAACGAACCGGCAACTTGTTCCAGGCAAAAAGAAAATGACAGGCACATTATACGTCCCTGTATATGCTCTGAGGAATTTCCATAAGTACTTTGTTCATCCGAGGCTCGGTAGCTTGCAGCGCATTATGGTTGCCTCCAATTGCCTATGAAATGCCTCGTGTGAATTGGCCGATATACAGGGTGGCCCCCAAAACGGAACGGCTATACTGCCACTATCTTGACCGATGGATGGAGAATTTTTTTAGAAGAATTATGATACCAAGATTTCTCGATTCAGTCCAGTAATTTTTGCTGCAGAGCCTATTTTGTGAAGCATGCTACTGATCATGTGGGTATTATTACATACAATTAACACCCTTATCCCAAAAAAACCCAGTAATTCATTAGGACAAAATTACTCCCGACTTTGTTTCACAAAATAGGCTATAGAACTAAAACTAATCTGGCAATCTTGGTATTTTTTTTCTTTGAACAAAATTCCCATGCATTGGCATAGGTTGTTTGAGTCTCACGGTAGCGGACGTACGCCGTTCCGTGTTTTTTTTTTGCCACCCTATATACATTTTAGAGGTGGGAGGAAAACTGCGGAATCTTAATCAAAAAAGACCCAACCAGGTACAAGTTATTTTCAAACTCATATCTTGACTGCAACAAATATCCAATACTGTACAGTATTATTGGACTTTTGTGGACAAACTTTCTACATAACCTATCCCGGATATGTCTTGACAATGATTTCGTGTTACAATAGATGATTCTTACTTTAAAATAAAATCGGTACCTTACTGAAGACTTCATACTCACATCGAACGTTCCCTTCTTGGTGTCCGTCATATCCAGTAGTTCACACACCCCGAGGCGATCCCCATTGGCGCTGATGCGAACTGCGCCGGTTACACCTGTCACCAAATTGTAGGCAATATCACAGGACAGTACATGTTTATTACTTTAAACTTTAAAAATGCAACAATTTTCACGGAAATCTATATTTAAGCTTGTCAACGTAGTAAGCTGAAACCATTTTTGAGGGGTGTTGTTGTTTTGTTGTTATAGGCTTAGGCAGCTTAGGAAATGATTTATTCCCAACCCCTTCAGTATCGATAATGTAGCGACAAGGATCCAGTCTACTCGTAATAAGAAGCAAAATAATAATACATGTACAATTATTAATTCAAATCGTTTAAGAGTCATGACAATTCAGGTAACTTCCCTTCACTTCCCTTTGCAACCCATTACTAGGTCTATCAAAAAGAATATCGAACATCAGCTGATCTACTGAACTTTCGATACTTACCCTGGAATGTTCGGTCCCACATTTTCCTTGTCACTGCTCGTCCATCCCTAACGTCGCCACCCTCGGCCACGATTTCATTGATCACATCGGCGTAAATCAGAACAGCATCGTGGGTTGCAGCAGCATACAGATTTTCCTTGCAAAAAGAAAAAAATCATAAAAATGAAAAATCTAAAAATTAATGTGGCCTGACGTTGAAAACTTAGCAAGTTCTTCTTCAGAGGCTGTTTTAGCCTCTGAAGAAGAACTTGCTAAGTTCGCAACGTCAGACCACATTAATTTTTAGATTTATATATTTCAGGTCCATCCAGTCAGTAAGCAGTTTGCAGCAGTCTTACTTACTTTTTTTCAAAAATGAAAAATATATAATTGCTGGCGCTGTGACGTGGCTTCATATTTGGTACAGGATCAGACATGTGGCATTTGCTCTATGATTGCTATGGATATTTGTTAGCAAAACGGAACTGAAGAATGCGTGTGCCGTCGTGATTGTAAAATTGAGATAAGTGAATATATTGCACAATATATTTTCCAGTGTAAAATCCAAGACGTAGCTGTTTTGAAATGGAAAGAGACTGAATGTCTGCTGCCACCAAGAGGTCACTATATAGTCTCAAAGGTGAAAGGTCACATACCCCACTGCCTTCACGTCCGTATAAGGTCAGCTGGCGATTTTTCAGCTCACTCTGGAACGCATGGTACACTGGGATATCAGGAACATGGTATCGCATCATAAACAACACCTTTAGTGCTTCAACTGTCTCCGCATCGTTGTTTTCGAACTGAAAAACGTTGGCATGGAATTAACGGAGTGCTGTTTAACACGTCTCCTTGTACCCGTAATAAACTTACGGGTAATATAGTTTTTCCCGGTCAATTTCATGAAATGTTAATTCACTTCTGAATATCGGTCATTCGTTTTCTTCTTAATTTGAATGCACGTCTTTAATCCCATTTCAATTCAACGAAACTTCAATCGTTTTCATTGTCCGTGCATTCAGTTTTGTGAAATAGACGACCAATTACGTTACCTTACATAAATGTCCCTTGAGCATCGCATGGGATTCCCATGGGGTCCCATGGGATTCCCATGGGGTCCCATGGGATTCCATGTATTAGTTAAAATGATCACCATGGGAGATTTTATGCTCATCCTGGGAAACCCATGGGAACACAATAAAGATTGCATGGACAACATGGGAACACAATAAAGATTGCATGGACAACATGGGAACACCATGAGGATATTATGAGCTCCATGGGAACACCATGGGATTTTATGGACACCATGGGAACACCATGGGAATTTTATGGACGTCATGGGAACACCATGTGGAATTTATGAACACCATGGGAACACCATGGGGATTTTATGGACACCATGGGAACACCATGGAAACACCATGGCGATTTAACGGACACCATGGGAACACCATGGGGATTTTATGGACACCATGGGAACACCATGGGGATTTTATGTCACAATGGGAACACCATGGGGATTTTATGTCACCATGGGAACACCATGGGAATTTGCTGGACACCAGGGAACATCATGGGGATTTTAGATTTAAAAGGCAGCACGGGGACACCGCCGGGTTATACTGGAGAACATGCACTTGCCATTGGTACCATCATAGACCCATTGCACTCCCAAGTTATAGGCAAAGTTTTCTTTAATTTAATTACTTATTCGCCTGTAAATTTGAATTCAATTAAAAACGTTTCCCTTGTGGTCATAGATGTTATCAAGAATTCTATTTTTTATGTTGACCCTGGGAAACTCCTGTGGCTTTTCACCAATTGAACTCAATGGGATAAACACCATGGGACACCATTGGACATTTTTGTGAGAATCGCTTCAATAACGGGTGTTGTAATTGCACATTTTTGAATTTTTCTGTTGATAAGTGAGATCAAATGAGGCATACAGTATTTTTTTATGTGGAAAATGTGTCATTCAAACAACTTTGGATAATATTGATTCATTTGTTATTATGGTTGGAAACATTAATGAGAAAATAAATTGGGCAAACTGTGATAATATGGTACAATTTGACAAGTGGTATGGGAGTGATAATGGGGGCACTAGCAATAGAATGCATGAGGCACTCGTACTACGTGGAACAATCCCCATCGGAGTTCCATGATATGCCTTACCGAATCGGCGAAAAGCACAAAACACACAGGGTTAATGTATTAAGAAAGTTGTTATTAAAAAAAAATGGAGCAATTTAGAATTTTTGAGAAACGATAGGAAACCATACATGGGAAAAAGCCCATATAAAATTTCCCATGGGAAAGGCCAATGAGAAAACTCCCATGGGAAAAATCCCATGCTACATGGTGTCCAACTATGCAATTCCCATGGGAAAATTTCCCATGGGAACTACATGGGAGATTTCTGTAAGGATGTGCATTTATTTACGCAAGCATACCTTTTCGCGCAGAGTTTTGGAATACAATTTCGTGAATGTGCAATCAAAATACGTTTTTCTCATTTAAAATAGCAGATTACATCACAGAACATTAAACTAAAAGTGAAATAGAATAGTCAATGTTTCAAACGTTTCATAACGAAAGGTGCTGTTTAATTGAACTGAAATGGTATCGAATGCTCTGGTAGCGAAAATGGAACGCGTGTTCAGACGAAAATGAATGACTTACTTTCAGAAGTGAATGAACATTTTAGGAAATTGGCCGGGAAAACCTATACCATGGGGCATCCCGTGGTAAATTGTCATACCATGAACTGTGATACCATGGTATGACCATGGTTGCATTTTCATTACGTCTTTGGTAGGTTTTGGTGGCCATTTTGAATTTTAACAATCCAACGATATACGATTGGAAACACTGATAAGTACTCTAAGTTATCTAAGGTTAACCTTCTATAATTTGCCAACCCGTGATTGGCAAAAAGTGCCAACCGTCATGGGTTGGCAAAGAAAGTTCTAAATGCCTAGTCAATATAGAGATACCTTTAAACATTCCTTGCAGCGACAAGACGAATCATTTTTTCATAGAGGGGTGCCAGAACACACACACACACACACCCACATTCTGGAACTTGTATTCCTGTGGAGACATTTCTTTGTTCTCGTGTAGTAAAGTTTTCGAGTTTGAAATTGAAGTTTCAAAATGCTCTTATTTTAACCAGAATTAATTTCCTGGGCTGAAATTTTGACTAATTAAATATCCCTTTTCTAAAACTCTTCCATTTGCGACGGATCAACCTACCTTGGAAATTCCTAGTTTTTGAGTAAAATCCATGTATCTATTTCGTGAAATTATTGTGGAGACGTATTCATCTATATAAATGTTCTTGTGGAGACGAATACAATATTTTGTTCCCTATTGTGTGCATGTCTCCTTAAGGTAGTAAATTCCAGCACCCACCCACACGCATGCACACACACGTTTGTTTTTGGTGTAAATCGAGGATTTTCTATTGTTTCTCTTCCCTTTTCCTTTGTTTTTGTTACCCTAACTTTTTCGCAACAGCTGCCATTGGTTTTGTACACGATTTCCAACGAGGAGTTCTCGATTCGGTTTCTGTCCTCGATTCTTCGATGGTGTTGCACGTGAAGTGTCCTCGATTTACATCATAAACACAGACACACTTGTGGTGGAGACCTTTGTTTCCCTTCTTTTGTTCTCCTTTATCCTATTGAAATATCAAACCCCATAGCGTTTCCCTTATGGTCATGATAGATTTCTAAAGACTTCCTTCTGGGGTTTGTTGTTCCATTGTGTTTTCTACCCCATAAGGAACACTATACATGATCGTACACAAACAACACACCTACACTAAACTAGCTAGACATTTTACAATATGGCACTTGCCAAGGAAGGCATTTATCGGTTCAAATAATGATTCGGGCAACTTTTTATCCTTTAAAAAAAAACTAACCTGGGAGCTTGTATGCAATGGCGCGTACTCGAACGGGATAAAGTTTAGAAACACATGAGAGCCCAGAGTGAGGCCCAGACGATGAGCGTGGACCATTATGTCACGTACCGGGGAGGCACTGATGAAGATAACTACATGTAGGGAAAAACAAATAGGGAGATGAATATCATCAGGATGCACCTTTTCCTGTTTTTGTTTCCTTTTTAATATTTTATTTTGGAAAACAAGACTAGGCCTGTGAACTGGAGCTTAACTCATCTAGAGCTTGTCTGAATTTATGACATTATTATACCAGTGCGTCAGTGCGACAGTGAGTGAGTGAGTGCGTCAGTCAATCAATCAATCAATCAATATTAGTGATTGAAAGGGAGGCCTATTCCGGCCCTTACGGGTCCATGCAGCAAAAACCATAGGAACCACACGTCAAGGTTTTTTTTATCGCAGTTTAGTTTTCACTTTTTTGGGGGGTTCATCTGCAAGGATAATGTCTTGGCATATGCAGGCCTATACCATAAACCGAATATATTTTGTTGTCCTCTGCTACCTGCCCATTGTACTGTACTCACCCTTAGAGACGGAAGCAACCTTCTCCAGAGCTTTATCCAAAGTGTCAAATTGATCAGCGTACACCTCGACCACAGTTATTCCATTCCTCTCCAGGCCTGCGAACACGGCGTCCGGGAGAGTGTGGTAGTAGTACGCCAAATATATCTGCAGTCCACGGAGTATGGCACAGCTGGTCCAACCGAGATGACGGAGCACGGCAGTCATGAACTGCACCATGAGCTCCACGTTCGGACCCGTGCGAGTCAGGGTCGGGAAGCGCTTCTTCTCATCCAGGAGCGTGGAAGTGGCTGCCCCGGCCAAGACCGGAAGATTCCAGTAGGCGGCCATGTCAGCGACAGCAGCCATATCGGGGCTAACAGCCGGCCCCAGGAAGGCAACCACGCCGTCATCGTGGTACATCGAAGCTGCTAGGGCCCCAGTAGACCGCACTGGACGTGTACAGCACTCATCAGTGCTTACGTGCGTCATGCTGAAGTTGTTGTACACACCCCTTTCCAGGCGTTTTGCGACGGTTTCGAAGGCGATCTGAGCCGCCGGCAAGAGGTAGTACTTGCTTACCAGGGGCACCTTCTTAAAATTCGACAGGTGTAGCATGCCTACTTTTACATTGACAGTAGCATGGACTACTGTACACAAGAGTAACTGCGCGAAAATGATACTGGCATACATTGCGACCATTATGCTTCTACTTGGAAAATCGACTGTAATGCAGCAGAACTCAGTAAACCCAAGCTTTATACTCCTCCGTGCCAAGGGTAGTATAGACCACTAATTATGGACATGAATATCCATGAGGCCCAAGTCGTTGGTGGTTGGTTAGTAATATAGTCCGTTGAACCATAGAGCAAGGAACAGAGTAGTCTGAGTATCACCCGTTATCCACGGAGCCCAGACTCCTGTCTAACGTCTGATATATCAAAGCATGCAGATTTATGCGATCTCGCGCCTCAGCCAATCGGAGGCGACTTTACTAAATAATCGTGACGTCATTTCATTCCCAAATCAGGACTAAACGTTTGGTTGGTGAATTCGAATGCAGTGTTTTGTAATGCAACAACAGCCGGGCGTGTTATCGCGTAACATGATATACAGAGCGCGTGACGCAGGGCTTTTTTTTAATCCATTGTCTATAACGCGCAACGGGTGAATGACCGAAGACCAAAGCGCCCGCTGATTGGTCAAAATCTAGGAGGTCAAGAGGCGGGGTCTTGCCTAATTAATCAGCGAATCTGCTCACATATCATAGACCCATGGCGATAGACTAGGAACAGAGGACGAGAGGCCGAAAACGCTTTAGTTTTCGAGATATAAAGCACCTGGCTGCAGCTGTTCAAGACCGCAGTTTGACAATGTGCGCAAATGCTATCCGAAAACTTCCCATAGAACTGCGCACATTCCATACCGGATGTGATTTCTCTTTCATTGCGGACCATGTGGACAACATTTTGAGCGTCGCATAATGCAACCCGACCGTTCGTGATTCGAAACGGAGCCTGAGCGAGTGACGGGAATTGTAAATTTACAACACAGATAAGTTTTACAGAATTTCCTACACTATTACGCTTTTCAACGAGAAAAACATCTTTAAACTGGGATAAAAGAGTAATGAATCAGTCTTAACGGCCGTTTCAAACCTTGCAGAGTCATGACCTTGATGACGCGCAGGTCACTGGGCACGCAAAATCCAGCCAATCAGAGCGTGAATTCATCAGAGCATTCCAGCGTCCTGTTTGCAGGGCGGGGATTAAGATCGAACGTTATGAATAAGCTACATAAAAATTGATTGGTATGGTTAAACATCAGATATATTTTGTGAATTTTTATCTCTGCTCCCCCCTTCCGGGGAATTTCTATAATTGAAATGAAAATGGTCAATTTTTAACAGAGTTTCCCCATTTTCAATATCATTGGGCAAGAATTGGAGAAAGGGATTACATACATATGTATACAAAAAGCCTGATAACGTAATTATTGTATAACATGCCAAAGTCTCATCAAGTTGAAGGACCCACTTTCTCTTTTTAAGAAGAGAACATTAATTTATATTTCTCTCGTAGGAACTAGGAAGCCTTTAACTAGTGGCAGCATTACAACTGAAGTTTGTTGATGGTGTGAATGCAAGGGTACTGAAATCGTCTTACCGTTTTTATTATTTTGAATATTGTTTCAAAGAATCGATTAATGTTTTGTTGTTGCTCCATCTATTTCGTAAAAAAACATTAATTAACCCCAGCGGCTCTCCCGCAACCTGAGACCTGAGAGTAAAAAACAACAACCGAAAAGACAGCATACGAAAAACTTAAAGGGCAAAAGATAATCAGGTTAATGAAAAAAAAAATCACATCAATTGAGAGCGGCAAAATCAGGTCAAATAATTGGTACAAGCAGGGGCGAAATCTTACCAGAAGCGTGTTGGCGTGTGTTCGGACGCCGCTCTGAGGGACAATAGGGAATTGAACAAACTTGTGTTATTTGAATTTGAATTGAATGGAAGGTTTTTTTTATTGTTCGTACCATTCTCGCAGTCCGAAGACTGAATTGCGATGGTTTACAATTTACAATTAACATAAATCATTAAAAAAACAAAACATTTATACATATGTTCGACATTAAAGTATTCTAAAAAGACCATTGTTTTTTTTATGCATAATGTTAAAACATAGAAATATTCTAAAAAGACTCTTATACAAACATGTGGATTAAAAAATGTTAAAATGCTACCCAGACTAGATAAAAAAAACCCTGTTTTTTGTACATCTACACGCCTTTCAATCACATAGTGATAAAAAGAATGCATTGTGTTTTACATCCAGACATAACCATTTTATTACATTACATTAGGTGTTTATTAATGAGTCTGACTAGGTAAGGCAGATAAAATGCCAGGTTTTGGTTACAAAACAAATCAAAATTTTGGAAAATGGCATGGGTATGTAGCGTATTGAATTGAAGTGTTATGGTGTACATACACAAGTTTGCATTTGTGTATAGCGCCCATGCACCCAAGTGTGTTGCCCGCAATCGGGGACCCCATATTGTCCCTCTTTGTTTGTACTTAACTTTTTAGGAAGACCTTCCATGTTTTGTACGCATCGCCAAATTTGGGAACTTCGGGAGATTGAGGACAATGCGTCTATTTTCATCTATCAAGGTATTCCACATGATGAAATTCATGGGACTTTTTTTCGCTGATTCATTTTCAATGGGCATTTTGTATAGGTTTTCTCGGTCAATTTCGGCAAATGAGCAGCCAATTTAACCACTACGCTATTCTATTGCGCGCGAAATCAAATGCTACTGAAAAGGGTCATTCGATTTCGTTTTATGACCAGTCAAAGGTACTGTTGCGTCATTCGATTCAACAAAATAATCATGCAATTTAACAATTCAACAAAGCAGCATTCAAATTCGCAGGAGCTTTTTGAGGCGTGTGTTTAGTCATTCAAATTAATTTTTAAGCAGTCATTTCTGGAATTTGTGCAATCTGAAAAACGCTTTGTTAAATTTTTGTTTCCTTAAAAATGTTGAAGGCATAAATACGGTTCACTTTTTGGCACTTGAGTCACTTTGCCGATGTACTTCGAAGACGAGCTTTCGCTACAGTTTTACACGCATATTTCTAGAAATGGCAGCTCGTGGTCGCTACGCTAGAGTGGCCCAGGTAGATCGAGAAAGGTTGATTGAGGCCTTCGAGGGAAACGAGCAAGACTACCTTCAGCTTGCGGTCAATTTGAACATCAACAAGTCAACAGCCAGATCAATTGTTGCAACATATTTGAGGACTGGAAGGCGAGAGACGCTGGCAAGAGGAGGAGCAATCCACAGTAAGATGGATGATGACATGCGAAACCATCTGCAAGGTATCCTTGACGCTAATCCCGTCTTGACACTTCAACAAATGAAGGCTAGTTTGAGTGAGCATCTGCCAGAGAAGCCCCAGGTTTCTACAGCCACCATAGCCAGGGCCTTGGATGGGATGATGATTACACTGAAACTAGTGGAGGACGTCCCTGATATGCAAGAAATTCCCCTGAAGTTCTTGATCAACGCGTCCAGTATGGTGAGTGGTTCCTGCAGCATGGTGTTCTGGCGCATCTAGTATTCATTGACGAGACAGGTTATAACGTCTGGACTCGACGCTCCCAGGGTAGAGCTCCACGAGGGATCGCTGCAAGACGAGTCGTCGACAGACAACGAGGGAGAAATTGCAATGTCACTTTCGCTGTTTCTAGTGAAGTAGGCTTGGTGCACCACCGAATCGCATTCGAAACTGTGACGCGAGAGAGATTCGAGGAGTTTCTTGCGGACACAATTCAAGAGTGTGATGCAGTTTTCCCAGACGACGAACCCATTTACCTCATATACGACAATGCGAGGCCTCACGTGCGAGCCCAACTCCCTGAAGGTGCCAACCCAATGATCCAGCTGAAGCGCCTCCCTCGCTACTCCCCATTCCTGGACAGTACGGAGATGGCACACTCCGCATTCAAGGCTGCAGTTTAACGCATCCTTGGGTTACCTGAGTGGCAACAACGTGTCGGAGACAGACAGGCTGCCCAGCAAGCAGGAATAAACATGCAGCAGTGGAGGTGCGATCTCCTTCAACAAGCAGCCATCCAGAGCGTTGATGATATCACCCAAGTGAAGTGCATGCAGTGGTACAACCATACCCAAACATATATGCCAAGATGTCTGGCACGCCAACAGATTGATGGTTGAGGAAGAAACAACATAAACAATAAAAAAACAGGAAAAACATAAAGAAACATCCCATTCAAACACAATACAAAATTAGGTCTTGGTCAGTTAACCAATAAAGATCCCCCCCAAAAAAAAGAACGAAGAAGAAAACAAAGAAGAAGAAAAAACCTCATTGGCCCCATGTTAAGTCTACTGGAAGCATAAATAAAGAAAACAAGGTTTGCCTGAATTAAAGTGAAGATACGAAACAGTTGCCTAGTACAGTTTATCTGTTTATTCGTATTTCTTTAGTCGTACTTATTTGAATTCTCTTTAAGCGAAATTGATTGCCTCTTTACGAAATTGAAAAAAAATAAATCAGTAAAATGTCCAGTCGAACCAGCTTTGCTAAATTGAATGATGATTGTGTGTCACGAAAAAGAATGACGATATGCTAAATTGAACACAGTGCTAAAGGAATTTGAATGCCTCAAAACGAAATTGAATGGCCGAATTCTGAATTTGAAACGCAGTAACAACTGGAGAGGCAAAATAGCTTCAATTCGAACGCACGAAAATTAAATTAATAATAATAATCGGCATTTAAGAACGCTCTTTTTAGTACACTAAATCACAGCGCTTACAGTATTATTATTATCCCTGATCATTGGGCCAATTTAACATTCCAAATACCATCTCAGCTCCCTGGGGAGTATACAGCTCGATGCTGCCTGTTAGGCGCAAGCAAGCTAAATCAATCACATAACCATCTCTGCCCTCACAGGTACCCATTTACTCCTGGGTGGAGAGAAGCAATGAGTGACAAAGTGCCTTGCTCAAGGGCACACGCACCATGACCCCGCCAGGACTCGAACCTACAACCTGCAGCTTTACCCACAGACCATAAATCAGTGCCCTTAACCACGAGGCCACAGCACTCCACATTGGCTGCTCATTTGCCGAAATTGACCGAGAAAATCTGTATATAATTCAGATTTTTATATTGTTAAATGTTGACCACCAAAAAGTTGGCATTTCCTATTGATTTCCGTTATACAAGATTTATTTTTCGACTTAGATTTGGTGATTTCAGACTCATTTTGAATGGTCGAGTTTTAGGGTGTTGCTTGAAAAAGAGAAATTAGTTTGATTTTTGCTCTGTGAACTCATCGTTTTTTGGT